GTAAGGATTAAGAGAAATATCGGATTGCTGAAATTCTCCCGATATTCATATAACACTTACCGTTATGTTCTGACCTGAAAGTCATATGACAAATCATTTGACCTGTGATTAGTACCCGATATATATTAGAAATATATCGGTGACATATTGGGCGATATATATCTGATTATATAGGTGCCCGAAATATACAAGTGTATATCGGTGACATATTGGGTACCCGATGTTGTACCCGATATATGTAAATGCCCGATATATATCTGATTAGTCACCGATATATAGGTGCCAGATATATACCCGATAGCATAGATTTTGACCAGTGTATTAAAGTAAACTTAATAATAAAATTATAGTAATTGGTAAATTATCATATCAATTATAAATTTTTACAAAATTTTCATATAATGTTTATAAAACATGATATCACATATATACTTTCATATGTCAAATAAATAATAAAAACAATATAAATATCTTTTTATATGTCTAATTTTATTGATTATCTAGATACAATAAAAATAATTTTTTTTTTGGTTAAATATACCAAATTGCTAAAAGTTAAATTGCATCAACTTGCCATTAAGTGATTGTAAAAAGATAGTATACAGCTTATTGGATTGTATTGAGATGTATTAAATGGTGGATTTATAACTTTAGGATTAATAATAAATAATAAGATATTAACATTTTTTTGAAAGAATTTTTTTGTATTCTTAAATAATTCTAAATGCATTCAATAACTTCCCATTTATTAATGATAGAAACCACTAACAATTTAACTTATCTTGATGAGACAAAGCTAACAAGCTATAATTTATTTTTCTATGAACACTGGATTATGATAAGTTACCTTATAAACTAAATTTGGATTATTTTTTTGCATAAATTTGAGCTAATTTTAAACTGAGTCCATTTGGTATAAATTTAGCACAAAAACTTTCTATAAGGATTAAAATATCTATATTCATAATGCCGGCAAAATTTACAAAAACTGTTCATTTTTATAATTCTGGTCAAATTTGCAAACCAGACATTTATGTCCATTTTATAATTCTGGCCAAATTTGCAAACTGGACATTTATACAGTATCTGTATTATAATTCTGGCCAAATAATTCTGACAAATTTTGCTGTGCAAAATTATTTTAAACCTGATCAAATTAATGTGTAAAACTTGAAAAAAAAATTGCCTTTTTTATAGTTATAAGGTGATATAAAATATTTATTAATGAAGTTGGTAAATGAATATGCAGTCAAAAATTATAAAATTGTCTTATTTATAATTAAAATACTGGATGGATGGGTGCAAAAAATCAAAAATCATGGAAATAAATAATGTTTGTGCTTGACAAAGGTTATCTAAAATAAGACAAAGGATAAGCATAATAAATATTACAGACATAAATGTCTGTGCTTTACAAAGATTATTATAAGTATAACAAAAATCACAGACATAAATGTCTGTGCTTAATAAAGGTTATCATAAGACAAAAGATAAGTATAATAAATATTACGAACATAAATGTCTGTGTTTGACAAAGATTATCATAAGTATAACAAAAATCATGGACTGTGCTTTACAAAGGTTATCACAAATATCACAGACATAAATTTCTGTGCTTGACAAAGGTTATCACAAATATCATGGACATAAATGTCTGTGCTTGACAAAGGTTATCACAAATATCATGGACATAAATGTCTGTGCTTGACAAGGTTATCATAAATATCACGGACATAAATGTCTGTGCTTGACAAAGGTTATTATAAATATCACGGACATAAATGTCCATACCTGACAAGTAGTATCATCATGAGCAATTGACAACAAATATCATGGTCGTATATGACAAGAAGCATCATTAAAAAATATCACGGACATAAATGTCCGTACCTGATAAGGAGTATCATCATAAGCAATTGACAACAAATATCATGGTCGTATCTGACAAGGAGCATCATCAACAAATATCATAGACATAAATGTCCGTATATGACTATAAGTGAGTATAATAATATATTGTTAGATTAAATTAATTAGCATGATTTGTTTCTATGACACAGCATGACAAGTCAAAGTATATCACGGACATGGGTTAAAACCATGGGCAGACCACGAAGGATATAACCTAGACACTTGAGACATGAAATGTAAGGTTAGAACCTTTGTTGATCGGTTGAATGGGGTGATAATTCCTAATGGTTCAATAAAATTGGCTAATATATGAGTCTTAATCCTTTTGAAATCAATATATTTAACCAAAGGTTCTAGTTCTTTAGTAACTTTTTGATGATCAATAAGAAGTTTATTTTCTACTTCAATTGAATTTTCAATTTGTTCTAAAGTTGGTAACTGTTCCATAAGATTTCTATATACATCATCAGAGACTTGTTTTGCTGCTAGAATTACACTATATCGAAAAACTTCATACTCTTGGGTAGCAAATGGTGTTTCTTTTTCATATGTAATAGATAAAAGATATTTAAGGCCTGTAATGGACAATCTACCAAACTCAATACTGTCTAATGGTATGTTTGCTACTGTTTCAACTAATAAATTGAGAATAATATTATCTTCTGTTAATGGTATTATTTCTGATACTTTAGTTAGTAACTCTGGAGAATAATCTTTTACGAAATTAGTGCTCTTGATTGTTTTTATAATAAAATCCTGAAGGTCTGATAACTGAAAATAATGTGCAGCAAAAAAAGCTTCAATTAAATTATCTTTTGTTAAAGATTCTTTTTTAACTGATCCAGTATAAATATATTCTAATATAATCTCCATTCCAGCAGAATTAATTTTTGGAAAAGAAATTTGATTTTCATAAGTTTCCTTCATTCCATTATAAAGTAACTTATCAAATACTTCGGATCTTGCAGCTAAAATTGCTCTACAAACATGTAATTTCTTTTCATCTTCACATAAAATTTCTATATCACTATATTTTGGATTATTTATTAATAATCTTAAATCTTGTTCTAGAGAAAGTCCTTTCGTCATTTTTTTTTTTTTAAAAAAAAATTAAACAATAAACCTATTTTTGGAATGAAAAGCAATATTTATATAATTGTACTATGTTATGCAAAACTATATTTAAAAAGGAAATTGATTGTATGATGACGTAATTTGAAACTTCAACTGCGACTTCGTCATAGGTCTGATAATAAAATACTTTCGAATTTGGAAACTTAAATCTTATTGATTAAATTCTTCATACATATAATCCAGATAAAAAAATTTTTGTCTAAATATTAAATTTATTTAGAATTATAAACTAATACTTAAATGTTCATCGTAATATTTCATTAAATAAGATAGATTTTATTTTTTTTTTTGATTAGTTTTAAGTTTGAAGCTTAATGTAAACTTTTTAATTCAATATTGTTATTTGTTAGTATGTTAATTTACATATCATTAATAATTCTTGATTTTCATATTTTAATAATCTAAATTTTAATCTTTACCATACATATTCGTTACATTCTGCATGAATAAAGAAAATATAAAAAATTTAATATTTTTACTTGGAACTATTGGAAGTAAATTTTTTAGAACCTTATCCATATGAGAAATATAACAATGTAGTTCTTTTATAAGTAAATATTTAATAAAATACTAGCAGTCACCCGTTGCTTCGCACCGGGACCAATGAGTTTGTTAAATAGAAAATTTAGCATTGTAATGTAATACTAAGTAAATTAAAGAATGGTTACAGTAGTTTTTGTTTATATTTAATTAGGAATTTAATATAGGTAATAATTAGTCAACAAAAAATAATAAAATAATATGTATTAAATTATATTTATAATACTGTATATTAGAATGATATAAATTATATTTACAATAATGTAGCTATTTATATTAATAATTTGACGTTTGAATGTAGAATGAAATTAAGAAATTATGAAAAAATAATTATCAATAAAAATTGATTAATTTTTTAGAAGTATTTTCGAAAAAACTTTAATATTATGAAAATACTACAAATATTTTTATTAGTTAATTATAAATTTTATAAATATTTCTTATTATTTATATTACATCAATCTTAAACTTATAACAAACTTAGGAAAAATATTTGATCAATTAAATGTATTAGAATCTATTCATTTCATTTATTATTATTCTTTTGATACTAATTTTACTTGATAAATTATTAATTTAACTAAACCATATAAATTAAAATCTTTATTCAAAATCTGGTGATTTTTTGTTAACAATTTCTTTAATTAATTTATTATAAAATATTGTAAAAATATCAATTTTTTTGATTTTTATGAATTTGAAAATCAAACTATTTATCCAGCGTTCAATTTAATTGAAAAAATCTTAATCATCTTTCTATCAATTTTAGTTAGCTTAAAAACGGTCCGGATCACGTTGCGGCTAATTATTTTTCGACTAACTACACCATTATCAATTTTCCTACATGTTATATTGATTTTTTAAAAAAAGTAATAATTAAAAAAAAAATTGATAGAAAAAGAAAAAAAAATTGGGGAAAAAAAAGGATAAAGAAAGAAATCTGTTTAAAAAAAATGAAAAAAAAAGGAATCAAAAAAAATAAGTACCGAAAAAAAATTCCGAAAAAAAAAAATTTTTTAAAATAGCAATACAGTCTAAAAAAAAAGATAAAAAAAAATAATATAAAAAAAATTGGTCTTAAAAGACCGAAACAATAGGATTATTTAATAAAAAAAAAAAATTTTCAGTTTGGAAAAAAAAGATAAAATAAAATTTTCAGTTTGAAAAAAAACCAAAAGAAGAAAAGGGAGAAAAACTTTTTTTCAGTTTAAAAAAAATGAAATCAAAAAAAGCTAAAAATATTTGAATTAATAATCAAAAAAACAAAAAAAATTCCGATTAACACACGGATTGAATAGTTTTTAACCATAGATAGATCAGACGGAGGCATGTCATGGGTTTTAATTATATGGTATGGGATTTCAAGTTACATAATTCAAATTATTTATGTGATCTATATAATTAAAAACAATCTCAATCTCACTAAAAAAAAATTCGTTAATATCATCAAAAAAAAATTTTCATGCGGATTTATTAGTCAGAAACAATACCCATTGACTAAAAAAAATCTCCACCGAAAAAGCTGTAGGATATAGTTATAATCTAATTATAGTCTTGAACCAAACTAAAAAAGAATAAACAATATTTTTTTGGTTAAAAAAAAAATTCCATTTGATAAATTCCCGATTAAAAAAATCAAAAAAAAAGAATTTTTCTAACTATCACCTGATGATCACCGGTGACTGAAATTATGACGATTGACCAGCATTAAAAAATATAGTGCCGGTAAAATTGATAATTCTGGCCAACAGTGGTGATCACCCCGAAGTAAAAATCCTAAAAAAAAATCCAATAAAAATAAAACAAAAAAAAATTTGGTTAAGTTAACCAAAAGAAATAATAATAAAAAAAAGAGGGATGAAAGAAATCAATAAAAAAAGACTAAGGTTAGTTTTGGTCTTTACGGTAAAAACTGAAAAATAAAAAATAAATCATCTTTGGCATCTTTGAAGTCAACATCCTACATGGTGGATCATAATATACATGATGGAATTAATTTTTAGACAATTTTACATTAGATAATGCATTTGTAGTAATGTACTGTATTTACAATTAAATTTCACAATATATTTACAGTAATTTGCTACAATTTACTATTAAATATACATGTTGATAAATTAACATTACAATTAATGTTATACTAACTATTGTACAAAACTAATAATGAGCATTTTATTATAGTTTGTATACAATGTATTGTGACATTATTGCCGTTTTCAAAATGGTTGAAATTCGATAATTTATATGAGGTGATGACAAAAACACAAAAAAACACACAAAAAATTATATCAAAAAACACACTCAAAAAAACACATGTAATGTGTGTCATGTAATACGAGATCACAAAATCTTAAGTTTTTTTTTGCGCTAAAAGCCTTTAAAAGGTTGGAATTGACACCAAGCCACAAATGATCTGCGATCACGTGACCAAGACAATATTTAATTGACGTTCGTTTTTTATTTATTTTTATATAAAATTTAAAAAATATGCACAAAATGAATAATCCAAGTTAATAATGAATTCTAATATGTTGTTTAGGTTAAATTTTAATTATATTTACCCACACCAACTATAGTTTATTATACCAAATTTCACTTAAATAACGTTCAAGATAAAAAAGATTAATCAATTAAATAAATTTTATTAAAACAAAATCCCATAATATGACATAACAATAAACAATCAAACTTTGTAGCAACTTATTAAAAATATTTCTCCCTTTTCTTTCTATTCCAAAGCTATAAATATAAGATTTTAATTATTAATTAGTTAATAAGCTTTTAAGTAAAAAAATTATATAGATAGAGTATTTCCACATAAATATGTAAAGTAGTGCCATAAAATACCATTTTACTGCTTCCCAAGAGGACTGAGAATACTTTGGTTAATTTAGTTGTAGTGTGATTCTAGTGTAGTGTCTTTTTTATTCACTGTGATCTAAGTGTGATTCTAGTGTGATTCGAGTGTGATTCAAGTGAGATCTTGGAGTTAAAGAGTAAAAATACCAATTAAAAAAAAAAATATAGTAGAACTATAAAAAATTTAGACTTTAAATATAAAGAACGAAAATTTTTTTTCGTATATAAAATTTTTTTTTGTGTTACATGATCGACATCGATTTCAACCATTTTGAAAACCGCAATAATTTTACAATACATTCAGTTTAAAAAATTTTAGGTTGTTAGCAAAGTAACTTTCAGTTACAATGTTGTGAACTGAAACTATGTTTTAAGGTGTAGATTACACATAATTGCGTATTTACACTCTTTTTAAGGTGTAGATTCTCGGGTATTACACATATTTGATAAATCTACGCATATAATCGCACAATTTAATCTCCTGATGTATTCTTTTTTACTCCCTTTCATCTTCTATTACTTTCCATTACTCCATTGTTAATTTCATTTTTTCATTAGCATCTTTCTTCTTGATCATTGTAACTTACTTATCTATTTATTTATTGCTATGATTGTTTCTTTTATTTGTATAAATTCATTAAAAATATGGTGATTTTTTTCTTTAAAATCGTAAATGTGTGACTTAAATTTTAATATTTGCAAATAAATTAGATATGATTATTTTGAATAAATATATTTGCAAAAAATTTTTTTTAAAATATCTTTTGCAATAAAATTTTAAGTTTAGCCGATCAAAAATTAGCTAAGTTAAAAAAATCAGCTGTCAGCTGATTAATAAATTTACTCTATATATTGTACATCATATGACATATTTGAAAAAAACCCCTAGGTGACGTTTAAATTTTTACTATTTTACTATTATAACTTATAATAAACTGAAATTTGCCATTTCTCTATACTTAATTTACTCATTATAAATAGAAAACATCATTGTTTATTCATTTTATTCAAAAAAAAGCTAGATTTAAAAAATTTATTTATTTTAACGAAGCTTATTTATAAGAAGCTTATTTATAAAGGAGAGATCAAGTATATTGAATTTTCATTTTTTTTTACAATAACTTTCACTTGAAAGATCTTTTAAAAGCATGTCAAGCTCCCCCGACTTCTTGTTTATATGCATTAAATATAACTTTTATATATATTAGGTTTGTGCTAAATTTGTGCCAAACGGGCTAATCATACAACATTTATTCGAAATTTGTACTAAAAAATAATATAAAATTTAAACAAATTCTAAACAAATATCGTATGATTAACCCATTTGGCACAAATTTTGCACAAACTTTTTATTTTATTACAACTTTAATATATTTCTAATATAAATTGAATATAACGTGACTAATCTTGATACAATTTTTGTATGACCCGCCTAAATCAGGTGTCGATCTCCTTAATATGCATCAACCTTATACATACGATTTATTGTGACGATATGAAACCATATTGTGACCAAATCTTGGTTATAAGGTCTATAATAATTAGTTATGATATGGTTCGATTATAAAAATTTCTGCAAAGCAGTCAGTTGAGTCATTTAGTCATTTCGCTCATTTGAAACGACAAATAGTCATAACATTTAACTTTACTATGAATCAGCTTTAGCAATGATAAAAGGTGCAGTTAAATAACATATGTCAGACATAATAATATAAATTATATAAATATTGCCTTTCAATCCGTAATTGTTTTATTTCTTGTTTTATAAAAACAAAAAAAATTTAAGAAATGACGAAAGGACTTTCTCTAGAACAAGATTTAAGATTATTAATAAATAATCCAAAATATAGTGATATAGAAATTTTATGCGAAGATGAAAAGAAATTATATGCTTGTAGAACAATTTTATCTGCAAGATCCGTAGTATTTTATAGTGGGTTGAAGAAAACTTATGAAAACCAAATTTCTTTTCCACAAATTAATTCTGCTGGAATGGAGATTATATTAGAATATATTTATACTGGATCAGTTAAAAAAGAAAATTTAACAAAGGATAATATAATTGAAGCTTTTTCGCTGCAGATTATTTTCAGTTATCAGATCTTCAAGATTTTATTATGAAAACAATTAAGAGCACTAATTTCGTAAAAGATTATTCTCCAGAGTTACTATCTAAAGTATTAGAAATAAAAATAATGCCATTAACAGAAAATATTATTAGTATTCTCAATTTATTAGTTGAAACAGTAGCAAATATACAATTAAACAGTATTGAGTTTGGTAGATTGTCCATTACAGGACTTAAATATCTTTTATCAATTGCATATGAAAATGAAACACGATTCGCCACACAAGAGTATGAAGTTTTTCGATATAGTGCTATTCTAGCAGCAAAACAAGTCTCTGATGATGTATGTAGAAATCTTATGGAACGGTTACCAACTTTAGAACAGATTGAAAATTCAATTGAAGTAGAAAATAAACCTCTTATTGATCATCAAAAGGTTACTAAGGAACTAGAACCTTTGGTTAAATATATTGATTTCAAAAGGATTAAGACTCATATATTAGCAAATTTCATTGAACCATTAGGAATTATTCCAACTGAAATAGTTCGTAGTGCTTATCGAAATATAGAATTATTAAGTAATTTTAGTTTAAGCGATTTTCGTGGAAAAGCTATTAATGATTATGTTTGGGATGAAACAGCATGTGGGTCAAAGCTCATTATTAAGGATAATGGAAAAATTGTACAAACAATAAAAGTTTCTAGCTATCGCCACCAAAGTGTTAGAGCTAAGATAACTTTAGGAAATAGAGGCATTTTTGAATGGGATGTTATTATTGAGAAAGCTTGTTCTTATTCTTGGGTTGGAATATGTGCATCAGAAAATTTTAATTATGAAAATCCTGCAGAAAATCAGTCTACTGTATGGGTATTAGGTTCTTGCGGTTATGTTTGTAATTCTGGAATTAGCATAGATTATTGTTCTCCATTTGGAGATGGCACAAAAATTACAGTTCATTTAGATATGAATAAGAGAACTTGCTCTTTCACGATCAATGGTACAAAGTATCGAGAAGTATCAGAATGGAATTTACCATCAAAACTTCATCCAGTAGTAGTATTGAGATATCCTGGCCGCTTTCAAATTCAGGCACAAAAATTACAGTTCATTTAGATATGAATAAGAGAACTTGCTCTTTTACGATCAATGGTACAAAGTATCGAGAAGTATCAGAATGGAATTACCATCAAAACTTCATCCAGTAGTAGTTTGAGATATCCTGGCCGCTTTCAAATTCAACCTCATTAAAAAATTAGAACATATAAATAGAAATATTATATCATTAATTTTTTTCTTACAAATATATTATTGCTTATTTTATATATTTATATATATATTAATTTCATCGTGATATCCATAAAACAATTACCAAGTAACAAGTTATTTTTTTTCTAAATATTAAAACACATTAGAAGTTTTTTCTTAAATTTAGTGATTATTTTATTGTATATCACATATGGTTATTATAATTATGTTAACCAAATCAGTTAATATTTTCTTTTAACCATTTATAGTACGCACATAAATGCAGCTCATTACAATTTTATTTTATGTTTTTTTAATTATAACTAGAAATTGCGTTTTGCGGGGGACTTCGTCCCCCATTGTTTAATTTTGTGTATTGAAATGTTGATATCAAATCAAGTTGCATTTTACTGGCGTTTATAAAATGCTCTAACAGAAAAAATTTAATTTTTTTTTTTTTTGATTCAAATTATTTAATGACAAGTGACAACTAACATTATCATATTTATTAAAAGCATTTATTAAAAGTATTTACAAAAAAAAAAAATAATAATAATTTACTGTATGCTAATAATTAAAATTCCACCTTTACTAAAAATTTACATGTTGTTAATGGTTTGGATATTGGTTCCAGTTGGTTCGATTACAACAGACAACAAATAAAGATAAGAAATTCCATAGAAGCTAAAGTCCTACAAAAATCGTGCATTATTCATAAAAGATCTACTATTGGGATTCAGGTGCTGATTTCCCTACAAAAAGAAAAAGTAACATTAAAAATAATAAAAATAAAGCTTTTTTTAAAGTTTTGAATCAAAACTTACTTATGGTATCCAAATTGGAGTCAATTTCCTTAAAAAGAAAATTCTGGAGCATTCTTTGAATCTCACAGATCCAAAGATATCGCAGCTGAAACCTAGAAAATAAAGAAAGAGTCAAATTAAAAAACAATTTTTATTAAGAAGTTTTGAAGTATTTGCTTCAAAACTTACCATTTCAATGCCTAAAGATATCACAGCCAATACCTACAAAATAAAAAAAATAAATAAAATTATAAATTTTTCTGAAAGTTTGAAAAAAACGAAACTTTGAAACTTACTGACCCAAAGTTTAAGGAGATATTGCAGTTGAAACCTACAGAATAAAAGAAAATTTTAAAAAATAATTTTTATTAAAAAAGTTTTGAAAAGAAAATGAAACTTACCGATCCAAAGCCCAATGAGATGTCGCAGCCATTACCTATAAAATAAAATAAAATAAAATAAAATTAAAAATCTTTTTTAAAGTTTCAAAAAGAAAGCAAAACTTCAATACTCACCTATCCAAAGCCCAAGGATATTACAACCGATAACTACAAAATAAAAAAACAAATAAATAAAATTAAAAAAAATTTTTAAAGTTTTGAAAAGAAAACAAAACTTTGAAATTTACCTTTAAATCAAAAGCATAAGAACTGAAAGCCGAAATCTACAAAAATAGAAGAAAAAAAAAATTAAAATAAATTAATTTATCTTAAAAAAAGTTTCAGCTCTTTCGCTCTGAAACTTACCTATATATCAAATACCCAAGAACAAAAAGCCGAAACCTACAAAATAGAAGAAAAAAAAAATTAAATAAATAATTTATTTTAAAAAAAGTTTTAGTTCTTTCACTCCGAAACTCACCTATATATAAACGTCCAAGAACTGAAAGCCAAAACCTACAAAATAAAAAAACAAGTAAATTAAAAAAAATATTTTTTAAAAAAGTTTCAAAGTTTTCACTTCAAAACTCACCAATATCAAATGCCCAAGAACTGAAAGCCGAAATCTACAAAATAGAAGAAAAAATTAAAATAATCATCTATTTTAAAAAGGCTTCAGCTCATTCACTTCAAAACTTACTTATATATCAAACTTCCAAGAACCGAAAGCTGAAACCTACAAAATAGAAGAAAAAAAAATTAAAATTAATTTATTTTAATAAAAATTTTGGCTCTTTCGCTCCAAAACTCACCTATATATCAAACATCCAAGAACCGAAAGNCTTACTTATGGTATCCAAATTGGAGTCAATTTCCTTAAAAAGAAAATTCTGGAGCATTCTTTGAATCTCACAGATCCAAAGATATCGCAGCTGAAACCTACAAAATAAAGAAAGAATCAAATTAAAAAACAATTTTTATTAAGAAGTTTTGAAGTATTTGCTTCAAAACTTACCATTTCAATGCCCAAAGATATCACAGCCGATACCTACAAAATAAAAAAAATAAATAAAATTATAAATTTTTCTGAAAGTTTGAAAAAAACGAAACTTTGAAACTCACTGACCCAAAGTTTAAGGAGATATTGCAGTCGAAACCTACAGAATAAAAGAAAATTTTAAAAAATAATTTTTATTAAAAAAGTTTTGAAAAGAAAATGAAACTTACCGATCCAAAGCCCAATGAGATGTCGCAGCCATTACCTATAAAATAAAATAAAATAAAATAAAATTAAAAATCTTTTTTAAAGTTTCAAAAAGAAAGCAAAACTTCAATACTCACCTATCCAAAGCCCAAGGATATTACAACCGATAACTACAAAATAAAAAAACAAATAAATAAAATTAAAAAAAATTTTTAAAGTTTTGAAAAGAAAACAAAACTTTGAAATTTACCTTTAAATCAAATGCATAAGAACTGAAAGCCGAAATCTACAAAAATAGAAGAAAAAAAAAATTAAAATAAATTAATTTATCTTAAAAAAAGTTTCAGCTCTTTCGCTCTGAAACTTACCTATATATCAAATACCCAAGAACAAAAAGCCGAAACCTACAAAATAGAAGAAAAAAAAAATTAAATAAATAATTTATTTTAAAAAAAGTTTTGGTTCTTTCACTCCGAAACTCACCTATATATAAACGTCCAAGAACTGAAAGCCAAAACCTACAAAATAAAAAAACAAGTAAATTAAAAAAAATATTTTTTAAAAAAGTTTCAAAGTTTTCACTTCAAAACTCACCAATATCAAATGCCCAAGAACTGAAAGCCGAAATCTACAAAATAGAAGAAAAAATTAAAATAATCATCTATTTTAAAAAGGCTTCAGCTCATTCACTTCAAAACTTACTTATATATCAAACTTCCAAGAACCGAAAGCTGAAACCTACAAAATAGAAGAAAAAAAAATTAAAATTAATTTATTTTAATAAAAATTTTGGCTCTTTCGCTCCAAAACTCACCTATATATCAAACATCCAAGAACCGAAAGTTGAAACCTACAAAATAAAAAAAAAAATAAGTAAATTAAAAAATTTTTTTTTTTAAAAAATTTCAAAGGTTTCGCTTCGAAACTTACCAATATTAAACGCCCAAAAACTGATAGCCGAAATCTACAAAATAGAAGAAAAAAAAATCAAAATAAATAATTTATTTTAAAAAAAGTTTTGGCTCTTTCGTTCTGAAACTCGCCTATATATTTAACACCAAGAACCGAAAGCTGAAATCTACAAAATAGAAGAAAAAAAAGATTAAAATAAAGGATCATTTTAACGCTCACCAGAGGTGAAATTCACCGGAGGTGATTTTTGCCAGATCACGTGATTTATAATTATTTTTATTAAAACTCGTTTTTGAACAAAGTACAATTTTTAATTTTTAACATCTCTAATTATAACACAATGCATATATACAGTATAATACATTATTGGTACTAATTGTTAAATAATCAAATGATTTAATAAACTTGAATAGATAATGAAGGAGTGAAGGTAATGATAAAAGAATGAAAATAATAATGAAAATGTAAAAAGAGTGAAAATGATGATAAGAGAGCAAAAGTAATGATAAAGAAACGAAAATATGATGAAAACATGTAAAGAAACAAAATAGATAATGAGGGAGTGAAAATGATGATGAAAACACGTAAAGAAACAAAATAGATGATGAGAGAGTAAAAATGATGATGAAAAAATATAAAGGGACGAAATAGATGATGAGGGAGCAAAAATGATGATGAAAAAATGCAAAGGGACGAAATAGATGATGAGGGAGCGAAAATAATGATGAAATAATGTAAACAAACAAAATAGATGATGAAGAAGTGAAAATGATGATGAAAAAATGTAAAGGGACGAAATAGATGATGAGGGAGCGAAAATAATGATGAAATAATGTAAAGGGACGAAATAGATGATGAGAAAGCGATAATGATGATGAAAGAATGTAAAAGGAAAGAAGGGATAATGAAGGAGCGAAAGTAATAATAAAAGTATAAAAGAAACAAGGTGAAAGTGATAAGAAAGTGATGATAAAACAAAGAGGAAGCAAAAGGAATGATATAGAGAATAAAAAGAATAAAAAACTGATTAGTACTGTAACTACTGTTTAGTAATAAAAAAACAATAACAATAAAACAGTAAGAAAGCAAATCTTACCTTAAATTCCTTGAAACTATTTGAAATTATTGTTATCTAAAGAAGACGAAGTTAGTAAAAAGCAAGCAAAAAAAATAAAAAATCTATTTTCAAAACTAACGTGTAAAAAGTATGTAGTACAAATCACCTGGTGAATTTCACCGGTGTAAAATTAAAAATTTTAATAATTTGCAGATCAAGGTGAAATTCACCGGAGGTGAATGTAAAATTAATCCTAAAATAAATTAATTTATTTTAAAAAAAGTTTTGGCTTTTTCGCTTCGAAACTCACCAATAACAAACATCCAAGAACTGAAAGTCAAACCCTACAAAATAAAAAAAAAATAAGTAAATTAAAAATTTTTTTTTTAAAAAAATTTCAAAGGTTTCACTTCGAAACTCACCAATATCAAACGCCCAAAAACTGATAGCCGAAATCTACAAAATAGAAAAAAAAATCAAAATAAATAATTTATTTTAAAAAAAGTTTCAGCTCTTTCATTCCAAAACTCACCTATATATTTAACACCAGGAACTGAAAGCTGAACCTACAAAATAGAAGAAAAAAAAAATCAAAATAAATAATTTATTTTAAAAAAGTTTCGGCTCTTTTGCTTTGAAACTCACCTATATATTCAACACCCAAGAACCAAAAGCTGAACTTATAAAATAGAAGAAAAAAACAATCAAAATAAATAATTTATTTTAAAAAAGTTTCGTCTCTTTCACTCTGAAACTCACCTATATATTCAACACTCAAGAATCGAAAGTCAAACCTACAAAATAGAAGAAAAAAAAAATCAAAATAAATAATTTATTTTAAAAAAGTTTCAGCTCTTTCACTCCGAAACTCACCTATATATTCAACACCTAAGAACTGAAAGCCAAAAATAGAAGAAAAAAATTTAAAAAAATTTGATTTTTTTTTTAAAAAAAAAAAGCTTCGATTCTTTCACTCTGAAACTCATCTATATACTTAACACCCAAGAACCAAAAGCCAAGATCTACAAAATAGAGAAAATAGAGGGAAAAAAAAATTAAAAAAAAATTTTTTTTTTAAAAAAAAAGGTTCAATTCTTTCGTTCTAAAACTCACCTATATACTCAAAGTTCAAGAACTGAAAGCTGAACCTACAAAATAAATAAAAAATATAAGTAAATTAAAAAAAATTTTTTTAAGTTCCGAAGTCAAAACTTACCCATCTAACGTCCAAGAACTAGAAGCCGAAACCTACAAAGTAGAAGAAAAAAAAATTAAATAATTTTTTAAAAAAATTTCATAGTTATCATCTATATATTGATTATATTCAATGCTTAGGAACCGGAAGCCAAAACAATTAAAAATAATTTTTTTTTGAAGCTTTCACCTCAAAACTCACCCATATATCCAACGCGGAGCCAAAATCTACAAAATAGAAGAAAAAAAAAAATTAAAAAAAATATTTTTTTTTAAAAGTTTCAAATTGAAACTTACCTATTGGAGATCTGGTATCCAAATCGGAACCAATTTCTCTACAAAAATAAAGAAAAACATCATTTTTTTTTAAAAGTTTCAAATTTTGAAACTTATTGAGATTCCGATATCCAGTTGATTTCTTTACAAAAAAAGAAAAAAACGTTAATGTTTTTATTTTTAAAAGTTTATAGAATTTTTATTAGAGTCAAATACCCTACAAAAAAATAAAAAAATTAAAAAATTAATTTTTTCTAGAAATTTCTCTAATAAAAAATACTAAGTTTCGTAACAAAGTAAACTATTACAAAACTCACCTTTCCACCTATCCAAACTTGTCTGAACATAACAAAATAAAAGGAAATATTAATAAAAATGTTTCCTTCCAAGAAAAAATTTGTTTTTTTTTTTTAGTAAAACGAAAAAAAAGGGAATTAAATAATGATAAGTATTGTAATTGGATAATGATAATCAAAAAAAATGATGTTTCTTTCTAAAAAAAGAAAGAAAAATGATTTTTTTTAAAAAAATCCAAGATCTATTTATGACGCAATATTTTTTTTATCCAACCAATTTTTTTTTTTACTGCAAAAAAAAAGAGATGTAACACAATATTTTGGGGTTTTTTTTTTAGCTTAGAAAAAAAAAATATTCGTAGCTTTATTTCTTTGAAGATCATCTAAATCAAATTTGATGTGAAATCCTATTATTTGATGACTAAATTAAACATGCAATGAAAGTGGCACAGGAATACTTAATTTGTAATTTTATTCTAATGATATCAAAAGAAGCAATTTAGTAAAAGCAATATTTTTTGCTATTTAACGTCTATAGCTATAGCTATATAGCAATAGCAATAGCAATAGCAATAGCAATAGCAATAGCAATAGCAATAGCAATTGCTATTGCTATATAGCTATAAAACATAGCTATATAAAATTGAACAATTAAAGTTCACGTTGTGCATTTCCGAAACTATGAAAAAATGTATGAAGATCGCACAACAAATTCCATATTGAGCGAAAAAGTGAATAAATATGGAAGATGATCGTCAGAAATTTATCATCCAAAAGCATACTATCGCTAATTTATCATCCAAAAGCATACTATCGCTAATTATGTTAAACCCAATCAGTTAAGTCGGTCTAATATTCTCTTTTAACCATTTATAGTACACACTATACTTTGATATCAACGAGCTTATTTTCTATAATCCGAAGTTTTGTATTGTAAAAAATAACCAATTTTTGATAATTTAATTTATTATTAACTTTAAATGTACTGTACCACCCTAATCAGGCTAATCCGCTAAGTCAGAATAAATATTCATTAACATTTAACTTTCACATTAACATTTAACTTTTACTAATTGTCCGGAACAAAGAAAAGAAATTCTATATGATGAAAAATGATTGTTCACGTGAATTCTATCCTTACCCAATAAAATCGCTCCGGACTTTTTCCGTTTCCTAGTATATATGGATTATACTGTAAATAATACATTTTATAAAATATTTATTTTAAAAAAGAGTTACAATGTTACATTTTCTCTTTTGCTCTAATAAAAATTTTCATATATTTTCTATATTATATAACTGTAGTATGGATCTTACATAATATGATGAGAATTTCTAAAGTTGTGTTCTACTACCGAGTAAGTACATATTAATGAAATATAATCATAGGATATTTGAGAATGTAATGAGTATGGTAAATAAAAAATTCTAGAATAAAGAAATAATCAATATATATATCAATCACAATTCTATGCAAGCCAATTGAAAATAGTGAGATATGAAGATATGAAAAATCGAATCTAGTATATTAAAGCAATTCCTGTGTAATGGGACGTTTAGATTAACCCGTATAAATAATTTTTGAATTGCGCGACACGTGATTCGTCTGCGCCTGATCTATTTCATGTTATGATGATTTGATAAGTCGTGGGAAAGAAAAGGTTACACTATAAATCACGCAACCGTTCAGCGGAAACTAACGACGAATCGGTCTCTTATTCCAACTATTGTGAATGACATTTCTTCGAACAATAATAATGATAATAATAATAATCTACGGGACTCCTATAATGAGGATCCAATACATACAACCGTTCCAATCTAACAGCCATTTCGTCCCATTATGGGTCATTTATATTACATCAAATTATTTACATTCAGGAGGATTTGTAAATTTATATAGTACATCGAATTATTTTTATAGGGCACATTCTGATTTTTTTATTTTTTTATTCTTTTTTTTCTTCTTTTCACGCTTTAGATAGTTTTATTATTTCTTTTTCTTATTTATTTTATGATATAGATAATGGAAATTAGGTTACGCCTCAAATTTTTAAATATCAGGATTTTTAAATATCAGGCAGGAGTGACTCAGGACGACTCCGCTAGGAAGTTAGGTATTTAGCGTTATGTATAGTTTAGTCAATGGTAGTAACTAAAGGATTTTTCTTGTTATTGCCCCAGTATATGTCTAAAATAAAACTGATTTACTAATAATAAATTTTTTTTAGTAAGAATTTTTTATAGCGATAGATTTAATATGTTTAATAAGATTTTTAATAACAATAGATCCGGGAATTTTTTTCTGGGATTTTTTTTTTATAGATAATTTCAGTATAATTTCATTAGAAAATTTTTTTAATAAGGGAGGTTTTTTTCGATGGAAAGAGAAGAGAAACAAGAAGTGTAATAAATGTTTGAACGTTTGATCAAAATAATAATTAAAATAAAAAATAAATATATAGAAATCCCACAAACAAAAGTAGAAAATCTATGAAATAATGTTTAAGAAAAAAGAGTTCCTTAAAAACTTATGAAATGTCACGTCCAGGAGCCACCTAAAAAAAAAATCAAAACTAAAACTTTATATAGAATTTAATTTTTTTTATGGGTACTTTTCAACTCTTTTTTCAAATAAAAATGTGAAAGAAGGAAAGGAAAAGAGTACAAGGAACAAAAGGAAAAACAAAGGAAGTGAAATAGAAATAATGGAGGGAAAAAGTGAGTTAAAAAAAAAATATTTAAAAAGAAAAAAATGCGAGTGAAAGGGGAGTTAAAAAGTCAAAAAAGTTTATTTTAAAAAGAAAAAAGCGAGTGAAAGAAGTTAAAAAAAAAAAAGTTTAAAAAAAAGTTCATATTAAAAAAGATCAAACTGGTGGCATATCACGTAATATATAAATACTAGGAGCTTTTCCCAAAATTTTAAGATATCACATTTCAACTCTGATTTTGTCCTACATAAGTCATGCTTAATGCAACCATAATTTACCAATAATGCCAAACGTGAATATGTCACAAAAAAATTTTTTTTTTTCGTTTGTTATAAAATTTAAAGAATTTAGAGGAAGTCACCATTCCAGCTCATATTTTAGGTAACTTTAGAACCTGTCTCTTATACACATCTAGATGTGTATAAGAGACAGACATTACACCAATTATTAGCAAATTTTGCAAATTTTACAAGGTTTTTTTGTACTATTATATAATATACGGTATATTCTTGCTTAGATTAACAAAATAATATAAAAAAAAAAGAAAATAAAAAAAATTTATTATTTTTTTTTTGGCAATGTTTTAGTTTTACCAGTTTTATAAACTATACCTAAGTAATGTAACACATATTCCAAATGAATATAATATAATGACTATTTACTGGGTAGTGTAACTATAAATAGTTAAAGAAAATATTAGATGTAAATTGAACATAAAGATGTGTGTATATAATATAGTAAACGCCAGCAAATTTATGTTTGTTAAAACGAACTCCTCATTATGGTCGCATATTTTTAATGTTTAAATCGATTAGACCTGAGTATGTTTACCCAGTTTCTTTGTATAAATTATATTGGATTCATAGACGATGATTCAATTTTTTTTCTAATACAATACTCCGTGTAATAATTTTTCTGAACAGAATTTATTATAAAGAATATAAATTGGATTGTTTTTTCCCCAAAAGTTGGTAAGTAAATTATATCTAAGTAATATTGCCATTTCTAGAATTTTTAAAGTTTAACATAATAAACTAACAAACGGCAGGAATCTTACATACAATTGATTTTTAATTGTAAACTGACCTTCCCAAAAGATTTATGCGATGTCCAATAAAATAATTAACAAATTTAAGAAAAAAACCTTAAATATGTTTATTTAATAAATAATATCCTGTTTCTTTGACTTCAATAACTGTTCTATGGATAATCTCACGATGTGATTAAATCTTAAGTTTGAATATTTTAGAACCTTATCGTTTATGTCAAATTCAATATTCAAATATAGATCAAAATATGACTTTTTACAAAATTTAAATTTGCACTGTGTTGTACTAGTATTACGAATGGTACTACGCGTTTAGTCGTTATTTGACGATTCAAGCGAGAGATGTTAACTATCATCTACGAATTTTGAATTCAGTCTAATTGGACAATATTTGTAAGCCTTCATAACATACTGTATTTAATCCTTAAGATTTAAGATAATTCTCGACATTTTTTAAGATTCAATGACGACGTGATTATGACGATCGCAAATAAAGTCATTTAATTGTTCTAAACGATATTTTCGAAAAATGAAGCGTAACCTAATAGTTATATTCTTATTTTTTATCAGAAACATATCACACATATATCAATATATCATGTACTATTAACATAAATTTGATTTTATAAAAACCTATAATTTATTTTGCTCGGTTAACATTAACCTCTAATAAATAATTCATATACAGTATTTCTATATTGTAAAAAATTGTTCATCCTAATAAATAATTAATAAATCTATATATTTGTAAGAAAAAATTAACGGTATAATGTTTCTATCATGTGCTGATTTTTTTGATGAGGTTGAATTCGAAAACGACCAGGATAATTCAATGATACCACCGGGTAAAGTTTTGATGGTAAATTATTCCATCCTGATACATAGTATTTTGTACCATTGACCGTAAAAGCACAAGTTCTTTTATCCATATCTAAATGAACGGTAATTTTTGCACCCTCATTTTTAAATGAGGGACAATAATCTAATTTATAACTAGAATTATAACAATTACCGTTAGAACCTAATACCCATCCAGTAGGTTGATGTCCTGCAAATTTTTCATAATTAAAGTTTTCTGTTGCACATACTCCAACCCAAACAGTACCACAATGTTTCTCAATAATGACATCCCATTCATAAACGCCGCCATTTTCTAACATCATTTTACTTCTAACACTTTGGTGCCTATCACAACCATTTGATGCTTGTACAACTTTACAATTATCCTCAATAATAAGTTTTGATCCACATGCTGTCTCATCAAAATCAAATATTGGTTGTGGTTTTCCACGAGTGTTACTTAGATCTAATTTATTTAATAATGCCAAATGTCGATAAACACTAAGAATTGTTTCGATTGGAATAATTTCTAATGGTTCTATAGTATTAGCTAATATTTGAGCATTAATTCTTCTGAAATCAATAAATTTAACCAAAGGTTCTAATTGTTTAGAAACTTTTTGACGATCTACAATAATTCTATTTTCTATTTCGGTTGATTCTTTTATTTGTTCTAAAGTTGGCAAAATTTCCATAAGAGTTACATATGCATCATTAGAGACTTGTTTTGCTGCTACAATCGCACTGTACCGAAAAACTTCATATTCCGGGGTTACAAAAGGTTTTTCTTTATCATATGTACAAGATAAAAGATATTGAAGTGCCTTAATTGATAATCGACCAAATTCAATAGTGTTTAATGGAATAGTTGCTACTGATTCAACTAATAAATTAAGAAGAATATTATCTTCTGATATAGGCATTATTTCCGCAACTTTAGATAATAATTCTGGTGAATAATTTTCCCTATAATTTCTTTCCATAGTACTTTTAAAAACAATCATAATAAAATCCTGAAGGTCTGGTAATTGAAAATAATCTGCAGCATAAAAAGCTTCAATTGTATTATCTTTTGTTAAAGATTCTTCATTAATTGATCCTGTATAAATATATTCTAATATAATTTCCATACCAGAAGAATTAATATTTGGAAAAGAAATTTGATTTTCATAAGTTTCTTTCATTCCATTATAAAGTAATCTATCAAATACTTCAGATCTTGCCGCTAAAATTGCTCTACAACCAAATAATTTCTTTTTATCTTCACATAAAATTTCTACATCACTATATTTTGGATTATTTATTAATAATCTTAAATCTTTTTTTAATGAATATCCTCTCATCATTTATTAGAATTTTTTTTTTTTTAAAGAAAAAAAAAAATAATACGCTTTTTAATGATGCTATTTTTGGGATTAAAACTCTTTATATATAATAAATTTAGATTTGTACAATGATGCGCCTAAGCCAGATTAAAAAAGGAAATGTTCGTTGTACAAAGTATATCATCGAAATTTTACTGCGCCTTAAATATCGACATACTAAACTTCAAACGGTAAATACTAATTTTCAGAATTATAAAATTGGCAATACTATATGATACTTTAAATGGAAAAGGTAGTGACGTAACTTCATTATTTTTAGAACTTGCGCCAATACACAATAAAATAAGTACTAGAATAAAATTGAGACGAGCGACCGTGAGCGATCGTCTACTATATTAAATGTGTTTTACGGTATTTAAAATCTTACGACATTCTCACTCACACAATGCGATCTTTTTTTTCTAGAAAATTGCTAATTTATTTTTCTGCGTTTATAATTAAAAATTTTTTATTCTCAGAAATGACGACGTTATTATCACAAAGAATAAATTTAAGATTAATTCAATATGCAACCTTCTTGTAAATTCTTTATTTTTGTAATAAAATGGTTCATGATTTTGACATTTATTACGTTCATCGAACATATAATTGACTATAATTTACGACATGTTTAGATGTTACGAGAACATAAAAACCCATTTTTCAATTTATATTGCTATATATTAACTATTTGTACCGAACATTCTAATTTTTTTGATGAGCCAGGATAACATAATGATACTTCTGGATAAAGTTTTGATGGTAAAATATACCATTCTGGTACTTCCCGATACTTCGTACCATTGACTGTGAAAGCGCAGGTTCTTTTATTCATATCCAAATGGATTGTAACTATTGCGCCATATCCGACAATAATTTTTCATAGATTTATTACAATAACCACCAGAACCTAATACCCATCCATTGGGTTGATATCTTGCAAAGGCTTCGTAATTGAAATTTTTTGACGCACACACTCCAACACAAGCATATTCACAAGTTCTCTCAATAATGATATCCCATTCAAAAATACCTTTATCCCCAATACTATTTTAGCTCTAACATTTTGGTGTGAATTACAATTAATTGGTGCTTGTACAATTTTTCCGTTATCTTTAATAATAAGTTTTGGACCACGTGCTGTCTCAGTGTCTCATCCCAAACATAACCAGATTCATTAATAGGCTTTCCACGAAAATCACTTAAATTTAACTTACTTAATAATGCAAAATGTCGATAAGCAATACAAATTATTTCGATTGGAATAATTTCTAGTAGTTCGATAATATCAACTAATATTTTAGTTTTAATCCTTTTAAGATTAATTAAGATTAATAAATTTAACTAAAGGTTCCAATTCTTTAGTAACTTTTTGATGGTCGATAAGAAGTTTATTTCCTGATTCGATTGAATTCTCTATTTGTTCCAAATCTATTTGTTTCAAAGTTGGCAATCGTTCCACAAGAGCTCTATATGTATTATCAGAGACTTTTTTTGCTGCTAGAATTGCACTATACCGAAAAACATCATACTCTCGGGTTGCGAAGGGTGTTTCTTTTTCACTTGTAATAAATAAAAAATATCTAAGGCCTGTAATGGACAATCGACCAAACTCAATATTCCTCTTAATTTATTAGTGGATGCGGTAACGAATATACCATTAAATAATATTATCTTCTGTTAATAGATTTGGTTCCATTGTTTCCGAAATTTTAGATAATATAAACTCTGGAGAATAATTACTCACAAAATTAATATTTTTAATGGTTTTTATAATAAAAACTTGAAGTTCTGGCAATTGCAGCGTAAAAATCTTCAACTTTTGTTAAAGTTTCTTCTTTAACTGATCCAGTATAAATGTATTCTAATATAATTTCCATACCAACCGAATTAATCTTTGTAAAAGAAATTTGATTTTCATAAGTTTCTTTCATTCCATTCATTATAAAGCAAATCGTCAAATACTTCGGATCTTGCAGCTAAAACTGCTCTACAAGCATATATTTTCTTTTAATCTTCACATGAAATTACTATGTCGCTATATTTTGGATTATTTACTAATAATTTTAAATCTTGTTCTAATGAATATCCTCTCGTCATTTGTCAAATTTTATTTTATTTTAGAAAAAATTTGAAAAAAAATTTCGATGATGTATTATTTATAAATTTAGATCAGTACTATGTTGCACTAAAAGGAAATGTTCAAATTCGTGCTGCGCCTGCATGATCAGGCGGTACTCGATCACAATAATATCGCTATCCCTTAAAGCGATTAGGGTGTTTCGGTGACTTTGTGGTGACATCCCAACAACGTCGTGCAAAGTGAAACGCACTAAAAAGAGGATACCAATCCTCATGTGAACAATGGAAAAAGTTCATATTAAACTAGAGTAATTTCAAATTATAATTTATAGTTAATTTTTAAAATATTTGAACGAACATTAAAATTATCATTTTTATTACATCTCAAATCTTATACCATTTCTTATTTATTGTACTTTGAAATGTTATGATGATTGCGACAGAGGTTAAATTGCTTTCAGATCCTGTTTCGATATTTCGAAAAATGTATTTTTTTTTTTTTAATAAATGGTTATTATACTATTATTATATATGTAGTTTTGATTTCAATGATTAAATCTAAAATTCGATATCTCATATACTGTATTTTATGATATTTATTGAATACACGGGCAGCCTCAATAAACCAGATCTTTGATAAACCGGAAACTTTGATATACCGGAATTGGGTCTAGAACGGATTATTATAATACAATTATAGCTTTATTTTCGATATGACAGATTTTTTGATATGACAGATTTTTCTAATATAATCATGGATAGTCCAGTTTATCGAGATTGCCTGTGTACTCTCTTATGCTTATAAATGAAATACAACACTGTTCTTCCTGTTTATTATATAAAGGTCGCTAAATTTAATTATTTTTCGTTCAGTAAATGATAGATATACTGTACAATTAAAGTAATTACATTTAATAGAGAAATTCAAACTATAACTAAACTATATTAAACTCATTAAAATTTTTAATTATTTGATGAGGATGAACTCGAAAGCGACCAGGGTAACTACCGGATAAAGTTTTGATGGTAAATTATTCCATTCCGATACTTCCCGATACTTTTTACCATTGATCGTAAAAGCGAAAGTTCACTCATTAATATCTAGATGAACTGTAACTTTTCTGCCATCTCCAAATGGAGACGACGACCACCATAGAAACTAGTACTCAACCATCAATAGGTTGACTTCTTATAGAAAGTTTTCGTGTACAAGATAAGACATCAAAATCGGCAAATCGATCGAAGTGATAGTTCTTATATACAGTATTAAAGTTATCGTTATTATGAAGATTTTGCAAATTTACTTATTTGATGTATAAGTAAAGTTGTAAAGAAGGTCAAAATACATATATAAATAATTTTCGCGCAAGTAGACTTTATATATAAGGAATAAACATGAGTTATTTTATAAAAATATGCAAATATTTTTTGTAATTAAATTGATAACTAAACATCAAAAAAAAAAAGATTTAAATCCAAAAACGATACTTTTATAATAAATTTCATGATATTTTCTAATTAAAAATGAAATATGACTACAATTTAGGGTAATAATAATGAAAATTAAATAAATCAATAGTCAATAAATCACTTAAATAACCAATAAAACCAAATAATCAATAAGCTAAGCCATAACCATCAAATAAGGGCAAATGAGTCTTAATACAAATGGTTATTACGCAAATAATCAATAAATCCGTAATCAAATTTTTTATTATTTATTCAAACGCGCACAGTTCTCTTGTTTTCTGTTTGGTTTTACTTTTTTAATATCGTATGACTTATTATTTTCTTTAATAACATAATAACATAACATAACATGCCAAAAGGAAGCTTACCTGAAGAAGCTCTGAAAGAAGTACAATATCGGGTAAGTATTCATTGTTCTTTACAATAATCAAATTCTAAATACTCTAACGTGTATCCGTATATCAGATTTTTGGGAGAAACACTATACCAAATGGGGGAACACGGAAACATGGGATAAATTTTTCATTGAAAAAATACCAAATTTCTCAGAAGCGAGTCACATAACGCTTTAGGCGCAGAACTGAACATATTAGTTAGAAAATTAAAGCCCAATACGAGGGCAAGTCAAAAAGCGCTATTTTTGCAAAATAACTTAAAGGTCAGTATTTTTCATGAATTAGACACCCCGTGCTGCTGGTATGGGAAAAAAGAGCGCCCAGCCTTATGTACGCCACGATATGTACATTCTATTTATAACATTTTGTACTACACCCTGCGCTGCTGGCATGGGGAAGAAGAGTGTCTGGCCTTTACATCGCTGCAGCGTACACATTTTGTTCTTTTATGGGAGATGTACCACGCGACTGATGGTCGAGTTGAGGTCAATTTTGGCCGAGGTGGGAACAGCCTAGCATATGCTCGTTGTGACTTGTGCTGTCTCCTGCTGACTTAGCAAATTGTTTGCTAATCTTTTTTTACCATACAGAATGATAGAACCCCCGAAAATCCACCTTCATATGATGAACAATCACGCAAAATTGAGAATGAGGAGGAACCTAACTCAACTGTTGAAGAATTAACATTTGAGCCACATATTGGCACATTACTTTTTCCATATAGAAAAGTTCTTGAAGAAATGCGGAGTCATCACGTAGAACAAGAATCACAACGAGCCCAACACTTATCTCATATGCTTAAGTGGTCTGTTGTGGACCATTCTCTGTTCAATGACTTCGAATTTGTTATCAGACCGGCCATTAACATGCCTTTATTGGAATCTGTTCTTATGGAAACCAAAATAAACGGATTCATCATGCGTTTATAAAAATGTACGTTGAAGCTCCTTATTACATCACGAATTCACGTCATTAGTTCGTCGTATAACACTACTGTATCTAATACAATGACCTTTTTAATTTCATCTCAGATCTCACGACATTCTTATATATTTCGGCTTTTTTTTATTCAGGACAGTTTCTAATTTTTTTTTTTGTTGGACTTATAATTAAAAAATTTAGATCTTAAGAAACGATCGTAACGATGGTTGAATTTTCAGATTTTACTGACATTCCTGCTTCAACCTTTAAATAATTGAAATTTTTTTTTTTCTTGTAATAAAAAAATGTTTATTATGCGTGATTTAAAGTTAAAATTTCTATACAATTATTATAATTTTTTAATATTCCCGTTTATTATCAACTCAATAAAAATGAAATTTGATGCAACCCTTCAACATCACGTAATACTAATAATTGAACCAATAAAAATTTTATTCTCTTGGCCATAAATAACATAACAATTATTTTCAATATATATGTAATTATAATGATAAGAATAAAATTCAAATCTACAAGATTTTGTCTAATTTTCTTGATGAGATTGAATTCGAAAGCGACCAGAATACATTAATGATACTACTGGATAAAGCTTTGAAGGTAGATTATTCCATTCTGATACTTCTCGATATTTTATACCATTGACCGTAAAAGCACAAGTTCTTTTATTCATATCTAAATGAACTGTAATTTTTGAATTATCTCTGTAAAACATGGGACAATAATATAAATCTTTACCAGAATTACTACAATAACCACTAGAACCCAATATCCATCCAGTAGGTTGACCTCCTGCAAAAGTTTCATAACTAAAATTATCTGATGCACATACCCCAACCCAAGCATAACCACAATCTTTCTCAATAATGACATCCCATTCATAAATACCTTCGTTTTCTAATACTGCTTTGGCCCTAACATTTTGGTAACCACAACCATATGGTGCATGTACAATCTTTCCGTTATTTTCAACAATAAGTTTTGATCCACATGCTGACTCATCCCAAACATAATTAAATTTATAAATCGATCTTCCTCGAACGCTACTTAAATCTGAATTATCCGATAATGTTTTAAATCGATAAACATTTAAGATAACTTCGGCTGGAATAATGTCTAATGGTTCAATAAAATTAACCAATATTATACCTTTAATCCTTCTAAAATCGATAAATTTAATCAAAGGTTTCAATTCTTCCGCAATCTTTCGATTATCAGTAATAAAATTATTTTCTACTTGGAATGAATTTTTTATCTGCTCTAAGGTTGGCAACCGTTTCATAATAGCATTATGTGCATCCTCAGAAATTTGTTTCGCTGCAAGAATAGCACTATACCTAAGAACCTCATATTCTGGAGTTACAAAAGCTTTTTCTTTTTCATGTGTACAAGATAAAAGATATTGTAATGCTGAAATAGATAAACGGTTAAATTCAATAGTATTTAATGGAATAGTTGCAACCGTTTCAACCAATAAATTAAGAAGAATATTATCTTCTGATAAAGGCATAATTTCTACAATTTTAGATAATAATTCTGGTGAATAATTTTCTGTAAAATTTTTTTTAAATGCATTTTCAACGGTTTTCATTATTAAATCCTGAAGGTCAGATAATTGAAAATAATCTGCTGCATAATACGATTCAATTATATTATCTTTTGTTAATAAATCTTCTTTAATTGAACCAATATAAGTATATTCTAATATTATTTCCATACCAGCAGAATTAATCTTTGGAAAAGAAATTTTGTTTTCGTAACTTTCCTTCATTCCATTATAAAGTAAACTATCAAATACTTCGGACCTTGCTGCTAAGATTGCTCTACAAGCATATAATTTCTTTTCATCTTCACATAAAATTTCTATATCGCTATACTTTGGATTATTTATTAATAATCTTAAATCTTGTTCTAATGAATATCCTCTCTTCATTATTTAAGAAAACGGTTAAGAATAAAAATTTTTTTTTCAATATATACAATTTATTCCATGTCGTACAACGTCGTATTCGGGGGTATGCACAAGTATACTAGGAAACGAAGTCCGAAGCGCAGTTATCATTGCACATCACCACGTGCCGGACGGACAACAGGAAATTTGTGAAACCGATACGTCCTTCGGACTAATTATAAGTATTATATGCAAACTAGCCAAACGTCAACCTCATGTCGTATGTGTGAAACAATATCTTTAGTATTCCAAAGATTCAAAAAAGACTTATTTTGGTTTAGGCAGGTTCTTAAATTAGATTTTGATGAAACGTTTCATCCAAATTTAGAAATGATCCAATTTGCTGTAAAACCTGTTTCATAATATCATATTGTGTAAAGAGAACTATCCATAAATAGTAAACAATAAGCCTTTTATTTACGCAGTAATTAATGATTTACTTGATTTTACCTGTTTTTTTTTAGACTACACGCTATATGACTGAAACTAGAAAATTACCAAGTTTATAATTAACATTAATAATGTCAAACCACTCAATTTGACTCCTTTATTGTTATTATTGTTTTCATATTCAACAATTATTCAATTATTTTTTTTTTTTTAGAAATAACTTAGAAATAAGGAAACCCAATATGGGAATCCAAAAGAATTTAGGTTTCGAAATATAATGTAGTCTAATATTTTTAAGACGAAAAAAAAAATGAAAGAAATTGGTAATATAAAAGTGCGTAAAAATCTTTTATTTTTTTTTTTTTAAAACAAAAAATTTCTCATTTCTGTATATTTTTCTTTTTTTTATAAATTTTTTTCTTTCGTTCATTCTTTTTTTTTTTGTGAATTTTGTAATCATCAAACATTAAAATCATCATGGAATATACGGTCGAATTAAATTATTTTTTGATACTTACAACAATAATGATTGTGGTGAGTTTTTTAAACATTTTTTTATTCAATTTCATTTAATTTTATTAATATTTATTAATCTCATCAATTAAAGGCTTCCACACATAATTTTATTAAATCGATCGTATTTTATCGCGGGGATTATTTAAAATTTTCAAGTATATTAAAGATTACTTTCAATATAAGTGGTCTCTTATGCGCTCTATCCAATATTGGATTACTTATTACGATAAATACCACTTCTTTATCGCAATGTTTGTTGACTACTTATTTACAAGTTTTATTAGATTTCATATTTTCAGAATTTCTCATCATTTTCTTAGTCTGGAAACTAAGACAATTCATAAAATCAAAATTAGATAATTACATTGTATATGGTTTACTTTTAATTAGAAGTTTGTTCTATGTAAGTTATGAAAATTTTAACGTTGATTACGTTGATTATAATATATTTATTATTCTTACAATTTTTATTTTTTTTTTTCCTAGATCATCTCCATTGCATTCATACAACCACAAATAACGTTTAACATCACTTCACCTAATGTTACTTCATGTGATAATGACGCACATCAGGAAAAGTGGTTTTTGATTACGACTATAGCTGATCTTTCGATAGACGTTTACGTTACTTTTCGTATTATTCAATGCATACTGGGTTATTCAACTACCAATCAACGCTCTCATTCACCCTACACATCAATTGTAGTGAATTCATTACCCATTTTAATTGCTTCATTATATCATATAAATACATTCATTTTTAAATTATCGATCCCTGGGTACATGTTTAAAACAGTCACTTTCGTTATCTTATCCTACGTTATAACTTTTATCATAGATTTACCTCATTTAAGTGAATCTGATCTAGAAAAAAGAAATTTTGAACAAGGTATTGTTCAACCTTCAATTCCTGATGAAGATATTGTATTAAGAACTTCTAATGGAATGTTGGTAGATATGCCTTTAAACAATGTTCGTGATGAAATTAAGATGGAACAACAATATAAAGTTGAAAAGTTGGAACCTGATAGTGATGTTGGATTTTTAAAACAATCTTTATCATTTTATGAAGTAATATCTGTACTTTTTGGAAATGACAAGGATGATAAAAAACAATCTTCTTAAATTAATTTATTATATATATATTATTTTAGTAAAAACATTTTTTTCAAATAAAAAAAAAAATTATTAAACTGCGGCGCAGTATAATAATAATAACATGTAATTTCGCAGGTCTGAGCGCCTGACAAAATAATAATTTGTAAAATCGACAGTTGACGAATTTTCGCCGATCATATACCTATACATAGTATCGGCTACATACCTGATAAAGAGTACAATAAGAACTCTAACGGTACAACAGTCCGACTAAAATAATAATAATGTTATACAGTATACACGTGTATAAAAATACAATACTTACGCACTTTCTAGAAAAGATATGCATGAAAAGGAATGAAATATATTTAGGTTTCAAGCAAAACTGTTTTGCGATTAGCTAAGCGTTTCACCCATTATACGTTTTGGTTTCAGCTATTCCGAAACTTCCGAACTTTCCAGATTCCGGTCAAATTTCCGATACCTAGAGAAATTTCCGAAATTCATGACACACGTGCAGTCACGCATGTTTTTAATTGGCGGCAGAATTTAATTAACGATTTTAGGATTCAACTTTTAATTGACGAAAAGGGAAAATAGCAAAATGTGAATTAAAAGACAAAATTTTAATAATATTAAGAAGATAAATTTAGATGTCACTCAATTAAAAAATCTTTTTTAATTCATTAACATTTTAAATTCAAATATAAAGTTTAAGAAATTTATAGAATATAGGTCATGAAATCGTAAATAACAGTATAAATAAAATTATATATAGATAAACTATAATGAAAATTATAATAATTATTTATTATAAAAAAAAAATTACCATTGTAAACAATAACCTTCATGAATCTTATTATTTAATTTATTAAAGTTCAAATTTTCGGTTCGTCACAATGATTATCTCGTATTATCCCGTTGAGTTACGTTACATTTCTTGTAAAAAATAAATAATTCTTGGTAAAATTTTTCGGTAAATAATTTTCCGACGAAATAATAAAATTTTCGGTAAAATTTCGGTCAATTTTTGACGAATGTGTTGCACATCAATATTTCTAGAAAAAATAATTGAAAGAATGAACGTTACATCCGACTTGGCATGTGACGTTTATAAGAAATCCGGAATTCTGTTCGTGAAACAGGAATAACAGAAATATCGGGTAAATATCGGCAATGGTTAAATTATGCTTGATCGACCATTCCAATATACTAAAACGTCTCGCGCAGTAATAAAGTTTACGTTTCGTTTGTTTCTTGGCAATGATATTTTTTTCTTATAAATAAATCCTGCTAGAAAATGTTTCTCGATTCTTTCAGAACAAATCTAAAATACATTAAAATATATTAAATATATTAGAAATCATTCAAACAATTTTTTATACATCATAATAATTTTTCTTTATCTACTTTTTTGAATTTTATACAAATAATAATTTCATTAAGAATGCAACAAGATAAAATTCCAACGATAATTATTGTCGGTGCGGGTTTAGGAGGACTCTCTCTCTATCATGCTTTGATAAAGAACAAGGACAAAAGAGAATTCAACGTAAAAATCTTTGAACGTGAATCTAGTCCTACAGGTATAATAAATTTCTAATTTCTAATTAAATATTACGTTAACAACGTTAACTAACTCGTACCTTCACGTGTTAGATCGATGGCAAGGATATCATATAGGCTTGTCTAATTATGGAGCTCAATCTCTTTTAAACTGTATTCCATCCTCAATCGCTTCAAACCTTCCAAAAGCAACGCCAAATACGGTTCCTGATGTAGAAACTCATGGAATAATTATCACTGATCAAGTAGGAAATGTTCTACTTGCTCCTCCAACTAAACCATTTAAAGATTTTTACGAACTTGCAAAAATATCTCGTGGTTTATCATCAATGATCATTTATCGTGATCGACTTAGAGATGTTTTATTAGATGATGTACCAGTACAATGGAATAAAAAATGTACTAAATATGTAGAAACTCAAGAAGGAGTTTGGGTATTTTTTGAAGATGGTACACAAGAATTTTGTAATATTTTAGTTGGTGCAGATGGAATTAATTCTCCAAGTAAGTTAAAAGATATTTTTATGTAATATCCATAATTTTCAATTAATTAACAACCATTTTTTTTCTTTTATTAGTACGAAAACAGAAATTGCCCGAATTACAAATTGTTAATTATGGAATAACTCATGTTGGCGTAGATATTTCTATACCTAAACACCTTATGGACAGGGCAAGTAAAATCCATGGAAATGTTTTGGCCCGCAAAACTCTTGGAACAAAAGGAGATTCAACATTTATGATGACACGCTTAATACCAATCAAACAGGAACAAGATGACGAAAAAAATGAACCTCACTATAGAGCAACATTAGTTTATTCTTATCCCTCCGAATTAGATAATGTTGATACTGAATCTGAAAAGGCTAAAGTTGATGATAATGATCCTGCGTCAGTCATCGAACATGTTAAAGTATTAATTCGAACATTAAGACCAGATTGTGAATTGACTGATTTATTGTTAGAATTATGGGACTTGGCACCTAAAACAATTCCAAATGATCCAATAAAATTCCCATTTAAAAATTATAATCCTGTACAACGAAGAATGATGCGAGATATTGATCCAATGTCTATCAAATCATGGACGAGTAGTCGAGTTGTATTATTAGGAGATGCTGTTCATGCTATGAGTCCTATATTAGGATTAGGAGCAAATAATGCTATTCAGGATGCCGATAAACTTTCTCAAGCATTACTTAAATATACGGACAATAATATTTCTTTTATTGAAGAATATGAAAAAGAAATGTTAAAACGAACATCTGCTGATGTATTAAAATCTAGAAACGTCACGTTTAAGACTTCCACGCCACTTGGGCCTTTTGGCGTTATTGTTAGAGACAGAATTTTAAAGGTTATAAACGTTATGATAAACTTTTATAGTTTTGCGGATAACTTAATTTTTAAGGATTAAAAAAACTATTAATATTATTATTTTAGAATCTTAGAATCATATTCATATACATATATAAGTACATATACATAATATATATATATAATAAATAATATAAAATATATAGATAGAACAAATACTGTATTATTATTAGGATTAATAGATAAAGAATAAAGAGACATTTTTAAATAAACCTGACATTTATATACGTCATAACTTTTTTTACCTCTTAATTTTTTATATTATAAACTGAAGTAGTAATTATTAACTACTTTCATCCATTTTATTTTCGCATGGCCCCTGTATATTGGTTCTTTTCAAATTTAACTGCTTTTTTAGAAAAATATGTTTTATATTCAAAATTTTTTATTTGGATAAGAAAAAAATTTTAGAAAGCGATTGTTATTTTATATTAAAAAAAAAAAGTTTTTTCAAAAATCGTATAATCGAATGATTCTCATAACTTATGTTTCAAGAGAAAAAAAGAGAAATCAATTTTATAACTTCAATATAATTTTGTTTCCGTTGGTTAAAAATGTTGACACTTAAGTTACATTTTATTAAACGTTATTAATTTCAATAAAAAAATCCTAGTACTCCGAGTGTATCCTTTAAATTTATGGACTTATGGTTTGTTTCAAACTAGTATGTCTCCGACGTTATTTGAATTCCTTACAAGAAAGAAAGAAATATACGTTGAAGTCATGAAAACACCTACAAAAACAAGGTTATTCAAATTAGTTTCTAATTCGGAGAAAACTTGACTAAAACTAACCGAATAAAATGTTAAAACTCGATATATACAGTATATATATATAGGATAATCAGCTTTAGTTTCCTCAGTCATTGGTTTTGATTCAGTTCCCGGTATTCATATTCTTCATTTAAATCATTGTTTTTTTTCTCCGTTTCAGAAATGAAACTTCTCTTAAAAATACGAATGTGTTACATCTTAATGATATTCACTTGGATGATTATCGTGAACATTACTTGCATAAAAAATTGAATAAAAAGTGAACGAAATAGAACAAACCCGAGATAAAAAACACTCAAATAAAAGAAAATTCAGATTTCGAAGAGATTAGTAGTCTAAATCTCAGGATATAAATAGTGAAGTGAACTTAATTCGTAATTAGTTCGTGTAATGGAGAAAAAAGTAAAAAACATAGATTCTAAACAACCTGAAGGAACGACCAAAACCGGTAAAAAAACATTAATACGTTCATAATGGGAAATCAGATTCCACGGCTTAAACGGCTGTTTCTACGATACGCTTGATCCCAAGTTTAAACGCTTTATCTCATGAGTTTTGGATAGAGAGATTCCAAGTTTTCTATTCGAATTACGAATTAAATGTGGTAATTGATCGAATTAACGAAAAAATGACACATCCGTTAGAAGAACACAACATTAAAGAATACTAGGTGCGTGGTATACATATTTGTGAATCTAGTAAATAAAATCTGTCATCAATGACGATATTCGGTTACATGTCGAATACTTATTTTTATCATAGCAAATAACAAGAGAATCAGACGACGAAAGAGGAGGAAAATACTAAAGATGTGCGTTCGTCAGATAATCTTATGAGTAAGTTCATCCTTGGATAAAATTAAACAAGTCATATTATGCTTGTTGGAAGAGTAACAATGTACTCACACGTTTATTTTTTACTCGTGATTCACTAGATATCATCGATACAACTATTACTTTTAATCAATTTCAGCAAGAGCTTGAGGAATATATTAATAAAAATGAGTCGACAGTAGGGAAATATATCCGTCTAATTTACAATAAAAACTTAGGCTCAGACAAATCATTGTCTAAGCATATCACCGAACAACATACAAATATACGGTATCGTTGTAACCAATGCACATTTGAATGCAAACGGATGGATAACTTAAACTCACATAGAATGCGAAAACATAACAATAATTAGTCGTACAAAATTTTATGTAATTGGTTTCTTGTATTATTTTTAATGATTAGGCCGGGAAAAATAAAAATTTAGATTCTCGTGACCTGGCCGGGTCAGTTTTTCGAAAAATAGAAATTTTTTTTTTATAGTAAAAAATTTTATCACGTGATTTTAAGTTTTTGGCCAATGTGCGTAAAAAAATTTCACAAATGAAAAAATTTTACATATATAAAAAAAAAATGCCGGCCGGCCGGCCGGGTCATTTTTAAAATTTTATGTCACGAGAATCTAAAATTTTTTTTGCCCGGCCTTAACATTGTGCTTAACATATCTTGTGTCGTATCGTATCCACGAACACTTATTAATTCTTCTCTATGGAGAGCAACAAAATAGAAAAAATAGATATATTCTGGTCCGACTAAGAGACCGTGACCCAAAGGCCACAGTTGGCTTATTTCATCATATGTGTGAAAAAAGTTTACCCGAACATGTTATAAAAAAGGTAATGGGTGTATTACAGTTGTACATTTCCATTTACGTTCCGTTAAGGAGCACAAAATACGTGTCCATCTAGGGACCAATTATTTTTAGTACCGCTGTATACAAATAAGTTGAAGCATGTCTTTGTTTTCGAACTCTTACTCCTTTTCTCTTTATATTTTCTCTTATAAGTTAAAAACTTCAAGTCAATTTTTGTAAATTCGCTCAAAAACGAGAAATATAATACCTTTTTACATTTTTCATCACCTGACGGCACAATAAACTATTGCAACCTCGGATTTTATACAAACGGCGTTAAAAAATATATAATCCTTTCATTCCTTTTATTCTGCCAATACAAAAAACTTGTTATTTGGGTGCTATCTTTTCATTTAAAAAATTAACTTCATAATCCGACAAAAATTTAATAGACTTACTGCGCCACAAAGAAAACAGGCCGATATTTATATCAAAATGGTTTTTTTTTTAACGCTACACGAGAGACTTATCATTTTTGAAAACGCCATCATGCATGTTATGTAAATACCGACATTATGCATAGTCGCATCTTGAAGATCATTACGCCAATGAGCTAAATAGATTACTAGAGAACAATATTATTGAGCACTATTATTCTCATGATCTTATCCATTCCAAGGATATTGGCTTTGGAGGATTTGCATCTGTTTTTGTCGCAAAATGGAAGAATACGCCAACAAAATATGCAATTAAAAAATTTGTCGACAATAAAGAGGTGTGCTACAGATAATATTTTTTTACATTACGTACAAATTTATTTATTGATAACTTGCCCCTAGGTTTATTTAACAAAAACGGTTAATCCCCATGCAAATATTATTCAATTCTACGGTGTTACTAAAAAAAAAGGTAACATAACAATTTTGCGATAAATATATGAAGTTTTTTGTTGACGTGTTTAATTTTCTTTAGATGAGGAAAAGTATTCGCTTGTCCTTGAATATGCAGAAGGTGGAACATTAAGAGATTGTTTAAGGAACAATACTATCGAATGGAATAATCAATTGAGGTTTGCAAGGGAGATTGCAAGTGCGATTTTGTGGTTGCACGTTGACAAGGGAATAGTGCATGGAGATCTTGTAAGTATATTCATGGTATTTAAAAATCACTTACCTAATGAACTAGCCATTATAATGTGTAACTAACGCCTTCTTTTTTAGCATCCCAATAATATTTTAGTACATAAAGATACAATAAAATTAGCAGATTTTGGACGTTCATTTGAAACGGGGAAGGGTTGTGATAATACTGAAGTATGGGGAGTAATGCCTTATGTGGATCCTAAAATGCTCGATCAAACAGTTCCATATAAGCTAAACGAGAAATCTGATATATATTGTTTGGGATTTTTATTCTGGGAGTTAACTAGCCGCACGTCACCTTTTGATGGTCTTGGAGATTATGATGTTACGCTGAAGATACTTAGTGGTGTGAGAGAAGAACCTGTTCCGAACACGAATGTTAAATTTATTGGACTTTATCAAAGTAAGTTCGATATACTATATTTACGGAGCAATGATTCCTTTGGATCCAGTTAATTTTATTTTTCTTGTTGCAATCTAATTTTTAATCTATTTGATTAGAATGTTGGAAACAAGAACCGGATGAACGATCAAATATTTCCGAAGTAAACGAAACACTTAGTAGTATTGATTCTGAAAACAATAATGTGTCTACTGTTCCTTATTCTAAAGGAAGCGAAGAAAGTGAAAAAACAGAGTTTGAACATTCCTGTCAAATTGATTATGTCGGTTATGTGAAATTGATTTAAATTTGCTTTGTCGAGAACTGTAGATTATTCACATACTTTTTAGATTTTTTCGTATATAACTGTTTTCACTCAAAGAGAGTATATAATAAAAGCTTTATTTTTTTTATTACGTAATACATATTATGAAGTGATGATGGTTATCTTGTAACATTCAATGAGCATTTATTTGGCGTAAACGTTTATGGATATGGTGACGAATGTTAACTGTCTGTGAACATGTTGTTATTCAATAGTTTCCAATGAACGTATGGTTATAAACTCATCTACTGAGACTTAACTCATAATAATTTCATACGAGAATCATAAATGTCAACTTATGTTGGAATGATCCCATTTCGCATCAATTCCACGTAGGATAGAGATACTTCTACTATATCTACTACAAATACGTTTCTTAAAAACTGATAACTGTGTTATTTCAGTTCAGAGTCCTATTAGTCAACGTAAAAAGTGAGTTGATCGGTTTACAACTTCAAAACTAACCTGTGTTATATTTGATCAGACAAATGAGTAGTGTTGATTTATAGTTTCACATAACTGCGCATACACGTAATACAAATTTCCAGGTGTGTTACGATAATGTTACCACCGGTTTCTGACGTTCGGTAGGTAGTAACAGAAAGTTCGATTAATAAATGGCAGGGTAATATAACGATGTATGACAAACGATAAGGTAAAAATGTTTGATAATAAACGATTATGAACGATAATAAGTGATAATAAATGATATAATAGATTGAGGGTAGATCGGGTGGTGTGTGTATAAAAATGATTAGTTACGGGTAATCAACAATGTTTAACAAAAAATTGACAAATGATAATTAAAAAAACAATGATAATAAACGATAATAAACAATAATAAACAGTGTGTTAAAATGTGACAAAACGTATCAGGTTTATTAACAATGGAATAAAATACGATATTACTGCCTCTGTAATATCCATATATCTATCTGTTGAAAATAAAACCTATACAAAACTTAAACAGAACTAACTCAAACTTAGAACTAACTCACTACTCCAGCTGCACCTCCAACAACGGTCCTTTTTATATTGTTTAAAATCTGGTGCAAATCTGTCTTTCGAACAGAACTGCCACACGGTGTAACGCTCAACCCTGTGGTGTGGGTCATCACCACGTTGAGTCGTTAACAAAATATTGCTATGCTATACAATAATATTCTAATTATAATATTCTATTCCAAACTAAATTTAAAAATCAAACTTCGATAATTTCCCCTCATATATCAATCCTTGAATTAATTAAGGAGGTACTTTTTCATCATAAATAGCATTTTATATTAGTAGGTCATATGATTTTAGTCTTTCTGATAATAGTCAGTGTTTATTAAAATAACATTGAATTTTTATATAAATAAAATATCATATTGATTTATTTTCATTATAGCTAGTAATCCTAGTAAATCAAGTAAAATTAATTTTAAAGGTAATTATTTTTATATTAAAGTTTTATAATGAATAAATACTAATTTATATCTTAATTATAGATAATGATAGTAAAGAATCACCCAGATTATTTAAAAAATTGAAAATGGAGAATGGTAAAAGCCTTAAATATTTAATTCTAATTTTCGTTGAAGATAAGAATGAATATTTTATTAAATTTTGATTTATTTTATAATAGTAGAAGAACAAAATGACTATGAGAGAGAAACAATGCAACAACGATCAAATATTAGTATTAATGGTAAGTAAAATAAATTATTATTTATAATAATTATCGAGTATTATTATTCTAATTTATCTTATTTATATAATAGATGAAGTACAAGATAATCCAAATCNTTATAATAATTATCGAGTATTATTATTCTAATTTATCTTATTTATATAATAGATGAAGTACAAGATAATCCAAATCTTCATTCAGAAGAAAAAGATAAAACTCCCGATGGTTTGTTTATAATTTAAATATTTTTTTAATAAAATTTTAAAAAATAAAATATATTTATTTACTAATGTAATTATTTCTTTAGACGGATTTTAAATTAAATTTTCAATTAATTTGAAAGTAAATTCATTTTTAATATTTATTATCTTATTTTGAAATTATTTAAACACTAAGATTAAAGTAGTGGAAAAAAGATTCTTAGTTTATAATTTAAATAATTCAATCCTCTATTTTTTTTATAGGACTTTTCAATTATTATTAAATAAAGATATAAAGATATTATAAATTATTATAAAATATTATGCGTAAAAGTAATTCTGTAACAACGCTTTAGTATTTTACAATAAAAAATAATTTATAAATCATTCATTTGATTATTATTTTACGTTACGAAATGTAAAATATTCAAGTGCTGATATTACAAGTAATAAAAAAATATTTATTGTACTCCAGAATATGACGTTTTGCGATATTGTGCTATCCTTGCAGCAAAACAAGTTTCTAATGATGCATATAATGCCCTTATGAAACGGCTACCAACCTTAGAAAAAATAAAACCAATAGAAAATCCAACACAAGTATAAAATGAAAATAAATTTATTACCTATCACCATAAAGTTGCTAAAGAATCGGAGCCTTTGTTAAATTTATTGATTTTAGAAGAATTGAGGGACAAGTTTTGACTGACATCATTGACATCATTGGCCCATAATTTTAGATGTTTATCGGCAAAAAGTAAGGTCACGTAATTTCAACATAAATTATATTCGAGCAAATATCAAATTGTTCTAATTACGTTTGGGATGAGTTGGCACATGGATTAAAACTTATTATTGAAGATAATGGATAAATTGTGTACTATGCTCCAAATAACCTTAATTATTATTTATGGCATAATGTTAGAGCGAAAATGATATTAGAAGGTAAAAGCATTTTGAATGGGGATGTTATTACTGGGAAAAATTGTACATATGATGCTTTGGTTGGAGTATGTTCATCAGAAGATTTAATTATGAAACTTTTGCAGGAACTCAATCTACTGGGTATTAGGTTCCGGTGGTTATTATTGTAATTCTGGTAATTATATAAGAAATTATTATCCATTATTCGGAGATAGCACAAAAGTTACTGTTCACTTAGATATGAATAAAAGAACTTGCGCTTTTACCAAAATATCCAGAAGTATCAGCATGGAATAATTTACCATCAAAGCTTTGTCCGGTGGTATCATTATGTTATCCTGGTCGAATTCGAATTCAATCTCGTTAAAAGATAAAAATTTTTGCGACATTATTCTTTAGCTAACAACAAGAGTTTGGGAATTTAAAAGAACCTTTTAGTAGATCGAGATTTAATTCGTTCAAAAAATGTGTTTACTTACGAAATGATATTATTTTCTTTTTTTCTTAATCAATCGAATCACGTGAACAGAAAATGAAATTCTTATTCAAGGTTATTTAAAAATGTTATAAGTCTAAAATCTTGTGATTAGCTAAATGTTTCATAATGTAAATATGATGTAAACATTTTGATAGGAGATTGATCTTTCTATTTTTAGATCTCATAAATCGAAGAAAGTAACGTAAATAAAAACTACGTTAGCCGCAGTTACTTTGTTGATAATTTTATTTGTGACCAAACCTTTAACCATAAGAATATCCTTAAATGAAAGCACTGAAATGAATTACAATGTATATATTTTTTTTTCTAAAGAAAAAAAAACTTTAAAAATAATGAGAGGATATTCATTAGATAGGAGAAGATGACTTAAGATTATTAATATAATCCAAAGTATAGTGATGTAGAAATTTTGTGAGGATGAAAAGAATTATACAGTATGGTTGTAGAGCAATTTGGCTGCGAGATCTGAAATGTTTGAGAAAACTCTTGAATCGGAGTAATTTAAGTGTATCAAAAATTAACATAGTTTTATCATATTCATTTTTAAATTTATATTTATTACAGTTTTTAGATTTCTGTGTACGTTGCGATTGCTAAGTGATTATAATTACAGGACGTCCAGTTTTTGTCCAATTTTATTTTAATAAAGTAATTTGTATGAGTAGCAGAATTCTGAAAACGGCGATAAGTAAATTAGAGCGTTATGGAATAAAAAATTATTTTTTATTTTCAGGAATTAACTGTTAATCCCAGCAGATTTTATTAATTATATCGATATTAATTTATCGGACAATCACATGATCAAACTCCAACTAACGCAATTGTTTACCAGCATAATTGACATATCTAATCCTCCAAGAATGTGTACATCAGGTAGGTCTCGCTAGATAATAATAATGTACTTAAATTTTTGACCGGTGTAGGTCGATCTTCTCCTTCATTAAGGCGTGGCTAATGCCGGGATATATTTTTCCCATAGGAATGGTGCAACATGACACAAATGCGAGTAAATATAGTTTTGCATAACATAGTACAAAATATTGCAAATTATATAATATTTGCTTTTCATTCCATTAATAGATAAGTTTTTTTTTTTAAAAAAAAAAAATAAAAAAAAAAAATGACGAAAGGAAATTCATTAGAAAAAGATTTAAGCCTATTAATAAATAATCAAAAATATAGTGATTTAGAAATTTTATGTGAGGATGAAAAGAAATTATATGGCTGTAGAGCAATTTTAGCAGCAAGATCCGAAGTATTTGACAGATTACTTTATAATGGAATGAAAGAAAGTTATGAAACCAAAATTTCTTTTCCAAAGATTAATTCTGCTGGTATGAAAATTGTATTAGAATATACTTATACGGGATCAATTAAAATAGAATCATTAACAAAGGATAATATAATTGAAGCATTTTACGCTGCTGACTATTTTCAATTACCAGATCTTCAGGATTTTATTATGAATACATTCAAAAATACATTAGAAAAAAATTGCGATGAAAATTATTCACCAGAATTACTATCTAAACTTGCGGGAAATATGCCATTTACAGAAGATAATATTCTACTAAATTTATTGGTTGAAACGGTAGCAATTATACCATTAAACACCATTGAATTTGGTCGATTGTCTATTACAGGACTTAGATATCTTTTATCTTGTACACATGAAAAAGAAACTCCTTTTGCAACCTCAGAATATGAAGTTTTTCGATATGGCGCTATCCTTGCAGCAAAGAAAGTTTCAAATGAAGCATATAATACTCTTATGGAACAGTTACCAACTTTAGAACAAATACAAGAGAATCCAGTACAAACAAAAAACAAAATTATTGCCGATCACCAAAAAGTTGCTAAAGAGTTGGAGCCTTTAGTTAAATTAATTGATTTTAGGCGAATCAAAGGTCAAATATTAGTTAATATTATTGAGCCGCTTGGCATTACCCCAATTGAAATTATTTTAAATGTTTATAGATATAATATGTTATCGTTTAATTCAGATTTAAATGATACCCGAGGAATACCTTTCAATTATGTTTATGATGAGTCAGCATGTGGATCAAATCTTATTATTGAGGATAATGGAACAGTTGTATATGCACCGAATGATTCTATTTCATATAAAAGTGTTAGTGCCAAAGTGGCTTTAGAAAATAAAGGTGTTTTTGAATGGGATGTTATTATTGAGAAATCCTGTACGAGTGCAGCTGTTGGAGTATGTACATCAGAAAATTTTAATTATGAAACTTGGGCAGGGTATCAAACTACTGGATGGGTATTATCCTCCGAAGGTAAAAGTGTTACTTCAAATGCATGGTTAGGTTATTGCCCTTTATTCGGAGATGGCACAAAAATCACAGTTCATTTAGATATGAATAAAAGAACTTGCGCTTTTACAGTCAATGGAACAAAATATCCAGAAGTATCAGCATGGAATAATTTACCATCAAAGCTCTATCCAGTAGTATCATTAGAATGTCCTGGTCGATTTAGAATTCAACCTCATAAAAAAAAGAATTAATTGTGAAATTATAGAATAAAATTTTTTTATTGGAACTGAAAATGAGGACTTGAAAAGATAATTCGAAAAAACAATGTTCTAAATATACTGAGTGATGTTATAGCTAATTAAAGATATTTTTTTTAAAAGTTTTTATAACGATTAAGTAAAATGTTTAAAATTCATAACTATCGAAACTTACCTGAATATTATAAATATGATGTCGAACTAACTGATTGATTAATGTTTCTGCAAGAAAAAGGCAAAAAGAATCGAAATATAATAATAAGGGTAAAAGGGGAATTATTTCTTATCTTTCAAAATCTCGGATAATTACTCATTATATAAATATTTGCAGCGTTGATCATTCCTTCATTCTATAATTCCGTAAAAATATTCTCTAAGCCTCGTTTCGATTAGATGATTTACTTGTTGAAATTTCCTAAGCCCTCAAATAATTCCTAAGCCTCATCTAATAAATACTTACGATCTCTTATATCTCAATCGAACAGGTTTGATAGTTTAACGTCATTCCGGACCGCAATTAATAAAATAATAAATAAAATTTATATCGCCTAACGGCCAATTGTCTAATCACTAATTAACTAAAAATAACTATATATAATATAACTAAAAATAAAAAGATAAAAATAAAAGATAAAAATAGATAAAAGAGATAAAAAATAAAAAATACCCCGTGACAATAACATGTAGTGTATACTGTTTAGCATAGCAAGCTTACTATATTATCACATGAACTTTGCCAATCATTTTCGATTTTATCACATAATATAAAGAGACATTTTATATTGAAAATTCTACATACTAATATGTCCCCAAATTTCGCAAACATATTAATTTTATTTTAAATTATGATCATACTTATTTTTATAAAATCTATTTATTATTGATTATTAACTTTCATATGCAGCAACTTTTTAAATGACACCTGCTGATCCGCGGAGCATGACTCAAGCATTTAATTGGCCGAGTCTTATAATATGATCTTTATTTGAAATACTAGCCCTGTTCATTTCTAGATCGTATCGGATTGGCCGAAAAAATGTATAACCAATCAGATCATAGTTATAATTTTTGATTGATCGGATTGGTTATATATCCATAATAGCTTATAGGGCAAAAAACACGTAGTTGTGTTGTTTATTATGTTTATTGTAAAATCGATCAGGGAAAAACACCAATTTTTGTAGATCGGCTTGACTTTGCATCAGAAACCAATTATTTTAGGGTACAAATTTGCGATCAATCCGGTTCGATCTAGAAATGAACAGGGCTACTGTATCACGTAACAGGTAATGGGAATAATTCTTAGTTTAATTCGAGTTTAGGGCTTAATTATTGGAATTTTTATTTGATATCTAATAACAATAAACATACAATCACAGAATTATATTAAATATATATTTATTGATGAGGTTGAATTCGAAGACGACCAGGAAATTTTAATGAAACAACCGGATAAAGTTTTGGTGGTAAATTATTCCATTCCGGTACTTCTGGATACTTTGTGCCGTTAACTGTAAAAGAACAAGTTCCCTTATTCATATCTAAATGAACAGTAACATTAGTGCCATCTCCAAATGATGGACAATACTTTAATTCTCTATTAGAATTACGACAAAAACCGTTGGAACCTAATACCCATCCAGTAGGCTGATCACCTGCAAATATTTCATAATTAAAATTTTCTGACGCACATACTCCAACCCAAGCACAATTACAAGTTTTCTCAATAATGACATCCCACTCAAAAATATCCTTGCTTTCTAACGTCATTTTAGCTCTAACATTCTGACGCCCACAATTATTTGGTACTTGTACAATTTTTCCATTGTTTTCAATGATAAGTTTTGATTCACATGTTGACACATCCCAAACATAATCGGATTCATTAATTATTTTTTGCTTTCCACGAATACTGCTCAAATATGAATTATTATTTAATAATGCTGTATGTCGATAAGCACTGTAAATTATTTCAGTTGGGATTATTCCTAATGGTTCAATAATATCAGCTAATATTTGAGCATTAATTCTTCTGAAATCAATAAATTCAACCAAAGGTTCTAACTCTTCAGCGACTTTTTGACGATCCACAATAACTTTACTTTCTACTTTGATTAAATTCTTTGTTTGTTCTAAGGTTGGGAGCAGTTCCTTTAGAATTTCATATGCACCATTAGATACTTGTTTAGCTACTAGAAGTGCACTATACCGAAAAACTTCATATTCTGGGGTTGCGAAAGACTTTACTTTTTCATGTGTAATGGATAAAAGATATTTAAGACCCGCAATAGATAACCGACCAAATTCAATATTATTTAGTGGCATAATCGCTACTGCTTCAATCAATAAATTAAGAAGAACGTTATCTTCTGCTAATGGCATTTTTTCTGAAAATTTTGATAGTAATTCTGGTAAATAACTTTTTGATAAACTAGTGCTCTTGACCGTTTTTGTTATAAAATCCTGAAGGTCTAATAATTGAAAATAATCTGCAGCATAAAAAGCTTCAATTACATTATCTTTTGTTAAAAATTCTTCTTTAACTGATCCCGTATAAATATATTCTAATATAATTTCCATTCCAGCGAAATCAATCTTTGGAAAAGAAATTTGGTTTTCGTAACTTTCCTTCATTCCATTATAAAGTAAACTATCGAATACTTCGGACCTTGCTGCTAAGATTGCTCTACAGGCATGTAATTTCTTTTCATCTTCACATAAAATTTCTAAATCACTATATTTTGGATTATTTATTAATAATCTTAAATCCTGTTCTAACGAATATCCTCTCGTCATTATTTAAAAAAATTTCGAAAGTAAAAAATTTTTTTCAATGAATCCATGTTTGGATTAAGTCCAGTACTTATATAATTTTTCTATGTTGTACTACGTCGTACCTATGTACTGATTCGCATATTATCGAAAAATATTTCATTAAATAAAATTAATTAAATCGAATATTTTACAATGTACCGTACCGTTCTTTATTCACGTCATGACGCCGACCGTTTGTAATTAAGATCTTAAGTATTCTTACAATGTAACTAAATATTGAGAATCGTTTTTTCTAATTTATCTTACTTTAAAAATGGCAGTAGTGAAATCTTTCTCTTCGGATAATGGTTTTTTTTTATATGATTTATATTAACCTTATTGTTCGATACATTTGTGGATATTTTCTCTTTTTTACCAACCGAAGTACGAAATTATTCAATTATTCTTCCTATATGTTAAATATTAAATTTGATATCAATAATGATAATAAAAAAAAATTTCTTCAAATTTTTTACTTAAATTTTTTGAAGTTAATTCGAAAACGATCAGGATAACGTAATGATACTACAGGATAGTATTCTGATGGTAAATTATTTAATCAATACTAATACCTCCAGATATTTTGTACCATTGACCGTAAAAGTATAAGTTCTTTTATTCATATCTAAATAAACAGTAATTCTCATACTATCTTCGTGAAATGACGGACAATAAAAATTAGAAGAATTCGTACGAACACGGCTACCGGAACCAATACCTATCCATACATTAGAGTTTCCTGCTGCAAAAACTTCATAACTGAAATTTTCTGATGCGCATACTCCTATCCAAGGAATATGATCAATAATGTTGTTTTATAATTCTATTTAAGCTCTAACATTTTGATAACCACAATAATTTGCACGCACAATTTTTCCGTTGTCCTCAATATCAAATTTTGATACACATGCTGGCTCATCTAATACATCATTAAACTCATATATTGACCTTCCTCAAGCGTCATTTAAATCTGAATTATGCGATAACGCTTCAAATCGATGAACAATAAAATCACTTCAGTTGAAACAATTTCAATAACATTAACCAATGTTTGGCCTTTAATCCCCCTGAATTCGATAATTTAATCAAAGATTTCAATTCTTTGGTAAATCTATCTTCTATTAGGGATGAATTTTTATCAAAGGTTAGCAACAGTTCCATAATATCTTTATGTGCATCATAAGAAAATGCTTTTTATTCTGGGGCAACAAACGGTGTTTTTCTTTTTCATATATATAAGATAAAAGATATTCAAGACCTGTAATGGACAGTCGACAAAATTCAATAGTAATCAATTAAGAATATTACTTTCTGTTAACGTCATTTTTTGCAAGATGCAAGATTATAGTATTCTCAATTGTTTTCGTAATAATAAGATCCTGTAGGTCTGATAATTGGAAATAACCTGCAGCGAAGAAACTTCAATTGTATTATCTTATGTTAAAAATTCTTCTTTAACTGATCCAGCGTAAATAAATTCTAATAAAATTTCCATTCTAGCGGAATTAATTTTTGGAAAAGAAATTTGGTTATTACAGCTTTCTTTCATCTCGTCATAAAGTAATCTATCAAATACTACAGATCTTGCAGTTAAAATTGTTCTAAATCCATATAATTTCTTTCATTTTAACATAAAATTTCTTTCACTATACTTTAGATTATTTATCAATAATCTTAATCTCGTTCTAATGAATATCTCTTAAAATTATTCAAGCAAATAACAAATGACCTATATTATATTTCCTTTTTTCCAATTAACTTACATGATAATGAAAATTAATTAGACAAATCCTTTTAATAATTAAACGTATTAATAAGGAGCCTAAAAAAGTGTACGTTGAAACTCTTTATTGCGTCATGATCATAATCGGCATTTCAGCAAAATGAGAGATTTTATACTAGTTCCTTATTGGTCATTGATTAACATCACTAAATTTAATAAAATTTTCACTTTTTCATTTCAAGTCTTACGGTAATTGTGTTTATAATGATTAAAAACTTTTATTTAGAAATGTTATGACGATCGTGACAATGGTTAAATTTTTACTAGATTCTTCTGACCTTCCTGCCTCAATCTTTTCGTAAATGAAATATTTTTCTTACAATAAAAATGTTTATTATGCAAGATTTTAAAGGCAAAGCTTAGATACAATTATTAATTTTTTGAATATTCACGTTTATTATCAAATCAATAAAAAATGAAATTCGTTGCAACCCTTCAATATCACGTAATCTAACTTAGTATAAATAACATAACTATTATTTTCAATATGTATAAATAATAATAATGATAAGAATAAAATTCAAGTCGTAGAATTTGTCTAATTTTTTCGATGAGGTTGAATTCGAAAGCGACCAGGATATTTTAATGATACTACCGGATAAAGATTTGAAGCAAGATTCTTCCATTCTGATACCTCTCGACACTTTGTACCATTGATCGTAAAAGCACAAGTTCTTTTATTCATATCTAAATGAACTGTAATTCTTGTACCATCTTTGTGAAATGAAGGACAATAATATACACTGTTTTTAGGATTACAAAAATAACCACCAGAACCCAATACCCATCCAGTAAGTTGAGCTCCTGCAAAGGTTTCATAACTAAAATTTTCTGATGCACATACTCCAATCCAAGCATAATCACAAGTTTTCTCAATAATAATATCCCATTCAAAAATACCTTTATTTTCTAATGCTATTTTAGCTCCAACATTTTGATGTACATCACAATTATTTGCTGCTTGTACAATTTGTCCATTATCCTCAATAATAAGATTTGAACCACATGCTGACTCATCCCAAACATAGTTAAATTTATAAATCGATCTTCCTCGAACATCACTTAATTCTAAATTATCCGACAATGCTTTAAGTCGATAAACACTTAAAATCACTTTGGCTGGAATAATTCCTAATGGTTTCAATAATATTAACAAATAATTGACCTTTGATCCTTCTAAAATCGATAAATTTAATCAAAGGATTCAATTCTTCTGTAATTTTTCAACGATCAGTAATAAATTTATCTTCTAATTGGAATGAATTTTTTATCTGTTCTAAAGTTGGCAACCGTTCCATAATAGAATTATATGCATCACCAGAAACTCGCTTTGCTGCAAGAATAGCACTATAACGAAAAACTTCATATTCTGAAGTAGCAAACGTCATTTCTTTTTCATATGTACACGATAAAAGATATTGTAATGCTGTAATAGATAAACGGTCAAATTCAATAGTATTTAATGGAATAGTTGCAACAGTTTCAACCAATAAGTTAAGAAGAATATTATCTTCTGATAAAGGCATAATTTCCACAACTTTAGATAATAATTCTGGTGAATAGTTTTCTTTATAATTTTTTTTAGAAATATTCTTAATGGTTTTCATTATAAAATACTGAAGGTCTGATAAATGAAAATAATCTGCTGCATAATATGATTCAATTATATTATCTTTTGTTAATAAATAATTTTTGATTGAACCAGTATAAATATATTCCAATATTATTTCCATTCCAGCAGAACTAATCGTCGGAAAAGAAATTTTGTTTTCATAACTTTCCTTCATTCCATTATAAAGTAATCTATCAAATACTTCGGACCTTGCTGCTAAGATTGCTCTACAAGCATATAATTTCTTTTCATCTTCACATAAAATTTCTAAATCGCTATATTTTGGATTATTTATTATTAATCCTAAATCTTGTTCTAATGAATATCCTCTAGTCATTATTTTAAGAATTTTTTTTTTTTTTTAAAAAAAAAATTTTTTTTAATGAATATCCTCTAGTCATTATTTTAATAATTTTTTTTTTTTTTTAAAAAAAAAATTTGTTTTAATGATAATTGATTAAAAAACCCAGTATATACTATTTATTTCATATTGTACAACGTCTTACTTGTATTAATTAGGTAAATCTGATGTCATACAGTCAGAACTGAGCACCCCGTTTTTGTTGCGGATTTTTGGAATTATATTTACACTAATTATTTTGGAAAGATTTGTCACAGTCAAAACTGTACTACATGGTAATCCAATGTAATATTGGTCAGATGATCAAAAAATTTAACGAAAAAAAAAAATAGTAAATACCACTTCAAACCCATCGTCTATATTTAAACCAATCTAACTTGGAAGTTAGAGTAATCGGACAATTTCGCAGATATAGTAGTAGTACTAAATAACGGTTTAATGCTTTTTGACAGATATTTAGGTGTATGGATATTGTTATAAAGCTGTGTTTATTTTGTTATTAAATTTTGACAATTTTATTAACATAATATAATAAAGGATGGTCTACCAAGAGATCTGTGTTGCCTTGAAATGCCAAATTGTAGTGTAAAAAAAGTCTCCTTTTTGGTAATTTGTGCGACCTAAACGACCATTCATTTTTTATATCAGTATCTATATTCTGAGGAGGACTGTAAGCTTTTTTACGTATCGAGGTTGTTTAAATATATTTTATTAAAAAATATAATGTAGTAGCCGATCGCCAAAAATTAGCTGATTGGTAATTAATTGACTTTTAACAATTTTTTTTATAGCCAATTATGATAAGATTCTCCTTAAAATCGATAGATCTGTCGGTAATAAATAAATAAATAAATAAAAATATTACATCTCTTTTACGTATTTTTATTATTATTATTATTTATTATTTATTAAAATGATTACGTTCCTTTATTATTATTATCATTATTATTATTTTATTATTCATTTGATCATAATGTAATGCTGCTGACAAATCACACATTACATTTTCTTATTTGAATTACTACTAACCAACCCACTTATCTACTATTTAAGTAAGGAACTGATCAAAATGGAATTTTTTTTTTATTTATTTTTTTTCATTTTCTTCATTGCTATTTTAGATTCGGACTTAGGGCTTCAGAACGGGAGGTATTGATTGAAATGAAACAATGTGAGTATTTTCTTTCCATTTTGAATATTACTAATTTATCCGCTATTTTAACGCTGGGAACGGAAGGTACCAATTGAATAGAAAGAATCCTTATACTGCATCATTTTAGTAAGTGACGTAATTATTGTTTATTTATTTGCTAAATAAGAACTTGGATCAGACACTTATCTCGAAATGGATAGTTCGCAACAGATAGATGTTATACTGCGGCAATTTGGTAAATAACGAAATTATGGTTTATTGAATTAACTAATTTGTTATTAATTACTAATGAATTGTTTTACCAATAAAACTTGGATAGATATTTAGCTCGAAATGAAATGGTCGTAATGGATCAAGCGTTATGATAGTTCAGACAGACTATTATTGCTAACCAATAGCAATTTTATCCGAACAATCAAACTTTTCCCCAATTTTTAATTACCATTTTTTTTTAAAAAATAACCTAATCAATAACAATTTTTTCCGATTTTTCATTATTTTTGGATCAATTTTTATAAATAAAATAAACTTATTATTGTTCAACAATTTTTTTTTTGTAATTTTTTAAAAAAAAACTATAAAACTTTGTTTTAAAATATAAACACAATAATCATTAAAAAAAACCTAATAACTTTTAGAAGTCTTAGACAGTCTGGCGGTGACGAAGTCGCCGCATATAAACCTATTCTAGTTTACAAGATAATTTTTAAAGTTATTGACAAATTTTTCATACCCATAGCATAATATGACTTGTCTCTTATTAGTATATGAAGATTGTATATAATGTTTAATAAATTTTAATAAATCATGTTTAATAAAAAAAAAACGTGTCGATATATCGTAAAATAAAAAAACGTATTAAAAATATCGTGATCATCATGTGATTCCAAAAATCCGCGGATATGGTTGGTGTTTTGTTACGTTGAAATTATTTATTTTATCTTAGAGTGGGATCTCCATCATTAATGAATTTGAAACCGCGCCAGAACTGACGTTCAGGTGATTTCGGATCGTGTTCTTATTGTACCGAACTTAATAAATAATACAATTTTTTAAACGAAGTTATCATAAAGAAGAAAGTATATTATGATTGTAGTAGGACCCCGAGCAATACTGAAATAGGTAACAAGAAATAACGCGTAGAATAGGCTAAAATAATCATGAAAATCTTTCCTTTTTTAGATAAATTTTGATAACGTTGGTAAGAAATATATTACTTTATTTAGTAACTGACTGACATTATCATAATTCCGGCCCTGAAAAAATGCGTAGAGCTAATAGTAAAATTTTGCCAATTTCCTATGACCTATTTATATATTGTTCGGGGTCCTATTGTAGTACTTCTTTTACTAATAATTAAATTTTAAAAATTCAAAAAATTCATAAAACTCATCCAAATCAATGATCGAAATTCATCAAGTGATTTGTTGTGCACTTAGTGCAGATCAAAATTAATTAATGCTGGTGAATTAAAATGAATATGGATGGCTGATTTATAATGACTTCGTAAAATTTATAATAAAATCAGTATATTTTGTTAAAATTAATTATAAGTAGATTTTGTTTAAGAAAATCGGTTTATCATGAATCGTTATATCGAGTTCTGACTGTATTTGAATATTCCCTTTTTTCTTTCTACATATCACGTAGTAAAAATAAAAAGGTTACGTAATTTTATGACACGAAAATCAAAAAAAAAAATTTTCGGCTCAATAACTCGATAACATTAATATGTACAATCAATATAATAAAAATATTTTTTACCATAGAACAAAGAATTTTAAATTTTTTGATGAGATTGACTTTGAAAACGACTAGGATGATTTAATGATACAACTGGATAATCACTGTTTCGCGTGACCGCGAAACAGAAATAGATTTTTTTTTTATAATTTACTAAATAAATAATCTTTTAGATAACAACTGACAGAATTTCTTACCATATGATTATCAAGCTAAAAAAACATATACTATATGTGCATTATTTTGAGACAATGGAAAAAATAATAAATTAATAATTTTTAATTAAAAAATGATTTATTAATGAATATAATATTATAATATTTCTATCTATATAATTAAGTTTGAAATGTGTTAACGTGTAGTATACTGCGGCAAATCTATGTACTTCTATATCAACGTAGGGATCTTCCTCCTTTTAGTTTTTTCTTTTAGTTTCTGGTATTTTTAAGTTCTTCTTGAACTTATTTTTTTATGGAATTGATCTAAAAGACCAAATATACATTTTATAAACCATAGCATCCCCGGTAACTCACGGAACTACTACTGCGTATGTCATTCCATACTATAGCCGATCCTACTTGTATTACTTATTATTTACTGAATATAGTAATTTTAAAACTTCACCTGATTATTAAAATATTGTTACACACAATTAAATTGACATTAAATTGTGCGACAATATCTCCGATATAAATTTACTTATTTTGGCCTTTTGATAACGCCAACTATTTTTTTTATTTATTCTTCTTCTTTTCGTTTTTAACAATATGTCATGTTCGAAAATATTTTCAGGAGATTTACCAGAATTATTATATGAAATCATTAAATATTTCCGAAATGATTATTCAACGTTACATTCATGTATTTTAGTTAATAGATTATGGTGTCGTTTAACAATTCCATTATTATGGGAAGATCCATTTTCAATTCTTAACGGAAATTATAATTTTATTGAAATTTATTTATATAATTTAAATGATTATTTAAAAACAAAATTAAATGAATATCAAATTATTGATAATTTATTAACACCATCATCATCATCAAATAATAATACACTTTTCAATTATCCTAATTTTATAAAATATTTAAATATATGTAAAATTATTCCTTGTATTGAAGGATGGTTAGAATCTAATGAAAGAACATCAAAATTTAGTAATAGATATTATATACAATATTTAATTATGGAATCAGTATCAGAATTTAAAAGATTTATTAATATATCAATAATTAAATTATTTATTGAAAATGAAGTAAATTTAAATACACTTGAAATTGAAATTTCTATTACTGATTATTATAATACATGTGCTGATAATATACTTGAAATTATTTTACAAAATCCAAATTTTATTAAAAATATTAAAAATTTAAAATTTTCTATTTTAAGTTCTAATAAATTAATTAAAAATCGTATATTACAAATAATTAATTCACATCAAAATCTTAAAAGAATTTTATTAGGTTATAATAATTTTTCTTTATATCAATCATTATTATTATCAAATGAATCTAATTGTTCAAATACTTTAAATACTATCATTTTTTATTATATTGATTTTAAAAGTTTAATTAATTTAGTTAAAGTATTTGAAAAATTAAATGTTTTAGAATCTGTTCATATCATTTGTTGTTATTCTTTAGATACTGGTTTTATTCAACAAATTATTAATTTAAACAAACCATTTAAATTAAAATCTTTATTTATAAGTGGGAGATTACAAATTCAATCATTACAATCATTATTACAAAAATCTGGTAATTATTTAGAAAATTTTGGTTATGGATTTGGAATTACTAATTATGATCAATTATTAAAACAACAATTATTAGAATTGATCATAAAATATTGTAAAAATATCAAATTTCTTAATTTACATAGGATTGAAAATCAAATTACTTCTTTAATATTCAATTTAATTGAAAATATTAAACAATTTCTTAATTATCTTTCAATCAATTTAGTGAATCATCAAGTTGATAATATCAAATTAATATTACAAAATTTAGGACAATCACTTCCTATTAAACTTGAATATTTAAGTATGATTCTTCATATTAAAGAAAATGATTTTGAAATATTCTTAAAAAATTCTCAAAATACTTTTTTTAAGAAATTGTTAATTAATAATATGATTAGAGAATATTCTAATGATAATATTGATATTTTACCTTATATAAAAGAATATATTATGAAGAAGGAACGTGTTAAATATTTGGCTATTAAGAATACTTTTATTATAAGATATAATAGGAAAAATGTAGATTTGTCTGATTTAAAAGATGAAGTGAAGGAATTTAAATTATATAATATTAAAGTTTTAAATTATAATGATTTATCTACTGATATTTATAGATATATAAATGAAATCGATTAAATTATTTTGTTAAATATCAGATAGCAATTTTATAAATGGATATTTATTATTAAAAATAGTTATTGTATTTATATAGTTATTAAATAAATTTTTATATTGGTATTACGTATCAATTTTTATTAAGTTGGTAATAAACGTGAATATTAAAAAAATATAATAATTATAATAAAAACTTTAACCTTTAAAATCATGCATAATAATCATTATATTTCATTTACGAAAAGATCGAAACAGGAAAGTCGATCGCCACAACATTTCTAAAGATAAAAGTTTTTGATTATAAACAAATTAGAAACTAATATAAAAAAGCCGAAATGTATGAGAATGCCGTAAGATTTGGAACGAAGTTCGGCTTACCACTTTGAAGTTTCGACTATGAATTTTTGGTCACAACTATTTTATTCGAAAAAAAAAAAAAATTCTTTTTTTTTTTAATAAAAACGTCGATACAGGTAAACAATCATTCATATATAGTTCTTTTGATGTAAGAAAATGATTATTAAATGAAGAAGCTGAAATATAATCTTATTCATTTTAAATGACGAGGCACGTACGCTCGTTATTCTCAAATAAATAATCACATGTGGATTCACTTACGTAAATAAATCAAATTCATCAAGAATATTATTAAAAATATGGTATGTTGATCGCCTTGAGTCATTATTATCTTGGTAATATTTCACATTGGTTGAACAGCCAGAAACAAAAATAAAAAGTGCAGACTCGTAATAATAAATGAGCGGAAGCATTAGAGTAAAGATGTAATGTACTTTAAAAAACTACTATAACCGGTTATGTAAGAAAAAAAAATGGAAGAATTTATGTCAAAAAATTAACTTCTTGATGACTTGGTATAATAAATTTGTTCAATTTTTATTTATTTTTCTTACTTTAATTTAAAACTACGTAATACCAGTTTAAACTAATTAGGAAAAAAAATCTATTTTAATAAAAAATTTATTTAATTTATTTTAATTTACTTTTTGATATTGAAAAAAAAAACTTGAAAATAAAAAGAAAAAAAATTTATCTTTCGGGACTGAAATAAAAAAATAAAAAGTAAAAAAAAAATTAATTAAAAAAATTTAATTTTCTTGATGAGGTTGAATTCGAAAGCGACCAGGGTGTATTAATGATACTACTGGATAAAGTTTTGAAGGTAGATTATTCCATTCTAATACCTTCGGATATTTTGTACCATCGACCGTAAAAGCACAAGTTCTCTTATTCATGTCTAAATGAACAGTAACTTTTGAACCATCACCAAATGGCGGACAATAATTTATTTCTATACCAGCATTGCTACAATCACCACCAGAACCTAATACCCATCCAGTAGGTTGTTCTCCTGCCCAAATTTCATAATTAAAGTCTTCTGATGCACATACTCCAACCCAGGCATAATCACAAGTTTTCTCAATAATGACATCCCATTCAAAAATATCCTCATCTTCTAATGCAAATTTAGCTCTAACATTTTGGTGTGAATTACGGTAATTTTCTGCTTGTACAATCTGTCCATTATCCTCAATAATAAGATTTGATCCACATGCTGTCTCATCCCAAACATAATTAAATTCACGTATTGGTTTTCCTCGAACGTCACTTAAATCTGATTTATCTGATAATGCTTTATATCGATAAGCACTTACAACCACTTCGGCCGGAATAATTTCTAATGGTTCGATAATATTAACCAACATTTGACCTTTGATCCTTCTAAACTCGATAAATTTAATCAAAGGTATCAATTCTTCGGCAACTTTTTGATGATCAGCAATAGACTTATCTTTTACTTGGAATGAATTTTTTATCTGTTCTAAGGTTGGTAACCGTTCCACAATAGAATTATATGCATCATCAGAAACTTGGTTTGCTGCAAGAATAGCACTATAACGAAAAACTTCATATTCTGGAGTAGCAAAATCCATTTCTTTTTCATATGTACAAGATAAAAGATATTGTAATGCTGTAATAGATAAACGGTTAAATTCAATACTATTTAATGGAATAGTTGCAACAGTTTCAACCAATAATTTAAGAAGAATATTATCTTCTGATAAAGGCATAATTTCTACAACTTTAGATAATAATTCTGGTGAAAAATTTTCTGCGTATTTTTTTTTTAAAATTTTCTTAACAGTTTTCATTATAAGATCCTGAAGGTCAGATAATTGAAAATAATCTGCTGCATAATATGATTCAATTATATTATCTTTTGTTAATAAATCATTTTTGATTGAACCAGTATAAGTATATTCTAATATTATTTCCATTCCAGCAGAATTAATCTTTGGAAAAGAAATTTGATTTTCATAACTTTCTTTCATTCCATTATAAAGTAATCTATCAAATACTTCGGATCTTGCAGCTAAAATTGCTCTACAAGCATATAATTTCTTTTCATCTTCACATAAAATTTCTATATCGCTATACTTTGGATTATTTATTAATAATCTTAAATCTTGTTCTAATGAATATCCTCTCGTCATTTTTTCAGAAAATTTTTTTTTTTTTAAAAAAAAAAAATAATAATTTTTTTAAAAATAGAATGAATAGGATTATTTTTTTTTTCATTTTCGGACGAAAACTTAATATTTATTCCGTACCATGTTGTACAACACCAAGCACCATGAAAAGTCGGGTAAGTTTATGTATATCATTAAAAATATACTATATATATAAAACTTCAAACGATAATTTCGCTCAATTTCATATTTTGGGGTTAAATTGATAAAATAATGGTTCAATTAATTCGAAAATATTTAATGACGAAATTAATATATGAAAATGAGTAAAGCAATAAAGAGTTAGAATTAAGTTAAATGAAAGCACAATGGAAGCACTAATTATTTTGAGTATAAGATCGGAGTTGATTAACTATTTTAAGTATAAAACGTCGTGGTTAATTCTCAATCGAAATAAAAAAAATTTAATGAGGAAATATAAATTGGAATGATTCATACAATGAATGGGTTTCAAATATATGTAAGAGGTTACATTATAAAATAACATATAATATACTAGCAAAAGAAAAACTATAAATTATTTAGAAATAATAGGACCATATTAAAAGCATTAAATCACAAAGCGTTATTCTTGGTTGAAACTAAGTGGTGAACCGAATTGATATAATATCTATAGAGAAAATCAAAAACGGAGGTTACAAAAACTTTAATTTGAATTTTTTCACGTAATTTAATAGAAAAAAAAAATCGTTTTCTTCAGTTAGATAATTCTTGTTTATAATAATTTTGTTTTAGGTACCATGGCTTTATTTTTTGTGATTATAACATATTATTCAATATTCTCGTCTTTAGGTTTATAAGAAACATGGCTATATGATGTGGAAGAAACTCCACCCTTTTTTAACTACTACAAAGCGAAAATATAATTCGATTTCCTATTAGGCTCAAGCGCTCAACTAGGTTCTCGTAATAAAATTATGCGAGTGAACGGTATTTTTTTATCTACTGTATGTTGCTATATGTAGATTATAACAAATTAACTTATAAACAATAATAACAAAAAGATTCCTTATTCTATCCGTCCGATTTCAATTTTCAAATTTCTTTTGAACCTCGCAATTCTTTTCTTCATTTGTTTTAATCTTGTACCTACTTTTCCGTTATTATTTTACTTTCGTTTCGTAATCCTTCTTTTTAATACTATAGGACTCCTCGATAAACATGACGATTATTATAAAGTTATAGATTTTGTCGAATATATAATGACCTTTTGGTCAAAATTGTTGATGTAGTGCAAAAAAAAAAAATTCTAAAATAAACTATTTTTTTAAAAAAATTCCACGTGTATGTAAATAAAAGAATTTATTGAAATAATTCATAACGATAACAAGCTGATAGTTTGAAAATTTAATTTTTCAGCCATTTAATAAGTATCAATGATTGTAAATTTAACCGGAAACGTAATTTTTATAAAAATATAAAATATCACCCAAAACGTACGTGATAACACCTTCGTGATTGACTGATCATAATTTTTATTCATCAGAATTAATATAAAATTTACGAGATAAATGCAAAAAAAAATATTATTCTCTTTAATTTGTATTGAAGGTTCTCAATATTATTTATTTAATTTAAGAATATGAAGCAGTAAATCGAGTTTCTAATGATATACCGTATACACAAAATTCATGAAACACTTACCAACCTTGGAAAAAAGTGAATCCAGTATAAGTAGAAATAATAAATTATTATCGATCTTCAGAAAAATTGAAGGCCAACATCATTGATTATCTCAGCAATTAACAATTTTAAGATGATTTTGATAGTGGTTATGGTTATAATTCTGAAAATTTGGTAAACGATTATTGACCATTATTTGGAGATAGTGCATGAATTTGATGTCGGCTTCATCATCTGATGAATTTGGGCTTACCATATAAGGTGAACAATAAGTTTACTTAAGATAGATTGCTATTAAACATAATTTAAATAATTTATTACTGACTTATTTCTTAATAATTTACGATAAAAAGTACTATTAAAATCTGTATTTGCGTATCCTGCATAGTAAATAAACCAGTTAAAAACTTAGGACGTCATAATATGTCATCAATGTCACGTACGCTATTTTATTGGTAAAAATCCTATTTGTTTACGAAAATGAATCCCTAAAACTAAATAATATTTGGAATGAAAGTAAGTTATTAATAAAAGAGAATTTCTCATTTATCTTCTAGAATGAATATGAATTATTTTTATAATAGCTTATAAGAATTTTATGTTGTAGATTATTCTTTAGGATTTTATTCTTGAATTTATATTCCATTAAATAGGTCAACCTTACAAATGACTAAATTTTAGCTATACTGTGTATTAATGTATATCGTTAAAATAATTATGTTTTACCTTCATTTTTTATTGTTATTGCTAATACTTCTTCATAAATAATACGAATCTACAAAATTTAACGTATCAAAGATAATAAAATCGTCGTTTATATACACAGTATGTTGCGTTCGGATCGTCATTAATGATAAAGGCGCAGCTAATAATACCGGAAATATTTTTTCCGTTTTTTTTTCCCACAAAGCTAGTGTAACATAGTACAAATACTTTTTTATTTATAAATGAAATAAAATCCTAAAATATTATCATTGAAATATATATTTCTTTTTCTTAATCACTTTCTTAAAAAATGACGAGAGGTTATTCATTAGAACAAGATTTAAAATTATTAATAAATAATCCAAAATATAGTGATTTAGAAATTTTATGTGAAGATGAAAAGAAATTACATGCTTGTAGAGCAATTTTAGCTGCAAGATCCGAAGTATTTGATAGATTACTTTATAACGGTATGAAGGAAAGTTATGAAAATCAAATCTCTCTTCCAAAAATTAAGTCCGTTGGAATGGAAATCGTATTAGAATATACTTACACTGGTTCAGTTAAAGAAGAATCTTTAACAAAAGATAATACTGTTGAAGCTTTTTGTGCTGCAGACTATTTTCAATTATCGGACCTACAAGATTTTATTTTGAAAACAGTTAAGAATACTAATTTTGCAAAAAATTATTCACCGGAATTATTATCTAAGGCCGTGAAAATAATGCCATTAACGGAAGATAATAGTTTACTAAATTCATTGGTTGAAACGGTAGCGAATATTCCATTAAATACCATTGAATTCGGTCGATTGTCTATTGCAGGTCTTCAATTTCTTTTATCTTGTACATATGAAAAAGAAATGACTTTTATAACTCCAGAATATGAAGTTTTTCGATATAGCGCTATTCTTGCAGCAAAACAAGTTTCTAATGATGCATATTCAACTCTTATGAAACAGTTACCTACCTTAGAACAAATGAAAATGGATAATTCAGTTCAAATAAAAAATAAATCTGTTACTGATCATCAAAGTGTTGCTAAAGAATTGGAGCCTTTGGTTGAATTTATTGATTTCAAGAGAATTAATGGAAAAATTTTGGCCGATGTTATTGATCCATTAGAAATCATTCCTTCTAAAGTAATTTTAAATGTTTATCGAGACATAGCAAGGTCAAACAATTCAAATTTAAATGATACTCGAGGAATAATGCCGAAAACGATGTACGCTTGGGATGAATCAGCATGTGGATCAAAACTTGTTATTGAGGATAATGGGAAAATTATACGAGCATCAAATAATTGTGATACACACCAAAGTGCTAGAGCTAAAATAGCATTAGAAGATAAAGGTATTTTTGAATGGGATGTTATTATTGAGAAACATTGTTCATGGTCTTGGGTAGGAGTATGTGCATCAGAAAATATTAATTATGAAGATTGGGCAGGAAACCAACTTACTGGATGGGTATTAGGTTCTGGTGGTACATTTCGTAATCATAATAACTATGTAAAAAACTATTGTCCAGCATTTGGAGATGGTGCAAGAATTACAGTTCATTTAGATATGAATAAAAGAACTTGTGCTTTTACAGTCAATGGTGAAAAGTATCGGGAAGTATCAGAATGGAATAATTTACCGTCAAAGCTTTATCCGGTAGTATCAATAAAGTATCCTGGTCGCTTTCAAATTCAGCCTCATCAAAAAAATGTTTAATTTTGTAAGATTATAGTATGAAAAATTTTTTGTGCCTATATTATAATGTTTAATTATGTCATTTGGAAATAATTTATTATTTATTTATTTTATCAAAAATTTGTAACAAAAAATTGTCTATTTAAAAGATTTCACTTTTGAATATAGCCATCTTTAGTTCAATCTGTTAATTTATACATAATTATTTATTTATCTACTTTTTTAACTGCAATTACTTTATTTAATTGATAAGGCAAATCTAAGTTTTAACAAAACTTTTACATGTATTTATATTCTGAAATGGAATTTTAAATAAATTACAATTATTTTTTCTTAAATTAAAAAAAAAAAGAGAGAAATATTTATTAAAACATATTTTATTCATAACTAATTATTCTTATAAAATTAGTAAGGAAGAAAATTATGACGATGTTGAAATGTTTTGATAAATTAAATGTCATTGAGAAATTTAATCTTTTGTAATTAATAACGTTAAATAACTTTGAAATGAACAAGACATAATTCTTTAATATTCCATTTAGGAAGTTTGACATTTTTGTTTTTTTTAAAACTAAAGAATTTATAAATTTATTGATTATTATTCATTTATAAAAGAAACTTACTTAGTCCAAACAAAGTGTTTATATAAACTAAAATAAATAAAGAGATATATTACGTAGTTAATAATCAAAGATACAAAAATACTAATGAGAAAGTACTAGAAAAAAATGAATAATATTAACTAAAATAAAAAAAAAATGTAATTAATTGAAGCTATATTGTAACAGGTAAATATCTAATTAACATAATAGTTTACATACAGTATATAATAAATTTTTTTTTAAAATAAAATTTATTTCTTCTCAATAAAAATTTGAAATATCAAGAGGTCAATTTCTTGGCATCATAATGGTAAATTCACACAATTTTTTTTATATAATCAGTTATAATAGCTTTTTATAAGTACATTATAACTTTACTCGAGTATGATTTATATCTTTCCGCGCATTTTATTATTACAAGACTGCTCTTTCTTACTTTTTCAGCCAATGTGAAATATTATCAAGATATTAATTATTAAATGACACAAGGTGACCAACGTAACATACTGTATCCATAATACTGTATGATGTACGAATATTCTTGTTTCGATTTATTTACGTAAGAGAATCCATGTAAATATTTATCAATTATTGAAGTATTTAGAAAAAGAAAAGAATATTTTGGTAAAATTTTTTATAGAAAAAGTAACCCAAAATCTAAAGAGTAAATTTATTTTTCACTTATTTTTCCTTCAAGTTTCTTAAGCACTTTCGAAATAATAAAACACATATCATCAACAACACAAGTAAGTGGAATTGTTTTCACCATGCTCTTTTCATCTGATATTATGGAATTAATAACAACACAATCTTTATCATCGTCACGCCGGAATACGATCGTTTCGTGAACAAATTTTTGAAAAAGTTAATAAATTGCACGTACGTAATTTTATATATTAGCTTAATTGAGAATGTCTTTTTCAATGTGAGAAATTTCTAGAAGAAAGTGACGAAAGAGAAGTATTCAGTTTAATAAACCTCAAATTGTACGAGTACTAATGCCTTGTCATTTAAAATACGCCGGCCGAATAAATATTATATTTCAGTTTCTTCATTTAATAATCGTATTCCTGCAGAAAAACATAATTTGGATCTTATGAAATTCTCATGAATGAAAAAAAAAATTCTTTAACGTGATTTCATTTTTAGTTAATAATTCAATATAATGATTATTTATTATGTTTATTTATATCAAATATATTTAATATTCACATCTTTTTTTTTTTAACAACAACTAGGATTAAAGAAGTTTGACATAGTAACATTAATAAAAGGTTAAATGAATTTAAGTTACAAAAATCAAAAAATTTATTTTTCTTGGCTTAATAATTTGTTTAGTATACATATTATATATGACTCAAAATTTATATTCAATAATCTAATTTTTTTGATGGGGCAAAATTCGAAAGCGACCAGGAGAATTAAATGATACTACTGGATAAAGTTTTGATGGTAAATTATTCCATTCTGATACCTCCCGATACTTTTTACCATTGACTGAGAAAGTACAAGTTCTTTTATTCATATCTAAATGAACTGCAATTCTTGCACCATCTCCAAATGCTGGACAATAATTTCTTACTACTTTATTATGATTATAAAGCGCACCACCAGAACCCAATACCCATCCAGTAGGTTGGGCTCCTGCCCAAGATTCATAATTAAGATTTTCTGATGCACATACTCCAACCCAAGAATAAGAACAAGCTTTCTCAATAATAACATCCCATTCAAATATACCTTTATCTTCTAATGCTATTTTAGCTCTAACACTTTGGTGTGAATTATAACCATCTAGTGCATATACAATTTTTCCATTATCCTCAATAACAAGTTTTGATCCACATGCTGACTTATCCCAAAAATAGTAGCCGATTTCATTAATTGATATTCCACGAGTATTATTTAAATTTAAATTACTCGATAACGCTACATATCGATAAACATTAGAAATTATTTTATCTGGGATAATTTCTAGTGGTTCAATTATATCGGCTAATATTTGAGGTTTAATTCTTCTGAAATCAATAAATTTAACCAAAGTTTCTAATTCTTTAGCAACTTTTTGATGACCAGTAAATTTATTTTCTACCTTGATTGGACTTGTATTTTCTAACTGTTCTAATGTTGGCAATTGTTTCATAAAAATTTTATGTGCATCATTAGAAACTTGTTTTGCTGCAAGAATAGCGCTATATCGAAAAACCTCATATTCTGGAGTTACAAATGGCTTTTCTTTTTCATATGTACAAGATAAAAGATATTTAAGGCCCATAATAGACAATCGACCGAATTCAATTCTATTTAATAAAATATTTGCCGCTGCTTCAACCAATAAATTAAGAAGAATATTATCTTCTGTTAATGGCATTTTTTCCGAAATTTTAGATAGTAATTCTGGTGAATAATTTTTTGCAAAATTAGTATTCTTAACTGTTTTCAAAATAAAATCTTGAAGGTCTGACAATTGAAAATAGTCTGCAGCGTAAAAAGCTTCAACAGTATTATCTTTTGTTAAAGATTCTTCTTTAACTGACCCTGTATAAATATATTCTAATATAATTTCCATTCCAGCGGACTTAATCTTTGGAAAAGAAATTTGTTTTTCATAACTTTCTTTCATTCCATTATAAAGTAATCTATCAAATACATCGGACCTCGCTGCTAAAATTGCTCTACAACCGTGTAATATCTTTTCATCTTCACATAAAATTTCTACATCACTGTACTTTGGATTATTTACTAACAATCTTAAATCTTGTTCTAATGAATATCCTCTCGTCATTTTTTCAAGAAACCTTTTTTTTAAAAAAAAGTAAACTTTTTTTTATTTTGTATGTTAATGAACCAATATTTATATTATTCTGTACTATGTTGTACTAAACTTAGAAATGCATTAGAATTGTGGCTTAGATAATTTTACCCATTCTTATATTAATCGGTCATCATTATGGAGGCGCAGCAAAAAAGTTCATATGATATACATGTGATGTATCCGATCAGGCCAAATTCTAATGCGGCCCAGTGATGTGAAATTTTGGACACGTGTTCTCCAAATTCAATTTAAAATACGGCGTGATTCATTACATTTTGGACAATTTTGTGCATTCTTTTAAACTTCTTGTGAATGCATAACAGCTTTTTGTACAATAATTGATCTATTCAGGTTTGATTGGCATAATATTTTTGATGCTCACAAAGGTTAGCCATAATTTCTTGACACATTTGATCAGTCATACTTGTACGTAACTCTATTTTCAGCATTAAATTTATTATAATTAACCAAAATTTAAAAAACATAAATACTCTCTATAATTATTATTTTTTCTTTCAAGTAGCGCGTAGCGCTTTCGCATAGAAAAAATTAATACTATTAGGCTGCACGTAATTTTATATCGGTATGGAAAAATTTATTGAGAATATTTGTTTCAATGTGAAAAGTTCCTGATGAAGGAAAAGAAGTATTCAGATTAATAAACTTCAATTGTATAAGTACTAATGCCTTGCAATTTAAAATATGCAGGCTGAATAATATTATATTTCAGTAATAATCATATTCCTACATCAAAACATAATTTGGATCTTATGAATAATGAAATTCTTGTGAATCAATGCAAAAAAAAATTCTTTAACGTGATTACAATTTTAGTTAATAATTTAAGTTCAATATAATTACTTATGTTTATTTATATTGAGAATTCACATTTTTTTTACCTAATATTAAATAAGTTTGACATAATTCTTGCAATAATCAAAATATTTATTTTTATAGTACTTCAATACATAAGAATAATCATATGGAATCATAATTTATATAATAATTCTATTCACATAATTTATACTCAATATTCTAAATTTTTTTGATAAGATAGAATTCGAAAAAGACCAGGATAACATAACGATACTACCGGATAAATCTTTCAGTTGATGGTAAATTATTCCATTCTGATACTTCCCGATACTTTTTACCATTGACTGTAAAAACACAAGTTCTTTTGTTCATATCTAAATGAACTGTAATTCTTGCACCATCTTCGTGAAATGACGGACAATACTAAAATCCACTAGCAGGATTGTAAAGACCACCGGAACCAAATACCCATCCAGTAGGTTGATTACCTGCAAAGGTTTGATAATCAAAATTTTTTGATGCGCATACTCCAACCCAAGACCATGAACAATTTTTTTTAATAATAACATCCCATTTAAAAGTCCTTTATTTTCGAACGCTATTCTACCTCTAACACATACATTGGTGAACATTGCTATTTTTTCTGCTTGCACAATTTTCCATTATCCTTAATAACAACGAAGTTTTGATCTATATGCTGGCTTATACCAAACATAATCAATTTCATTAATTGACGTTCCACGAGTATTAATTAAATTATTTAAATTTAAATTATTTGATAACGCTATATATCGATAAGCATTAGAAATTATTTTATCTGGAACAATTTCTAATGGTTCAATAATATAAGCTAATATTTGAACTTTAATTCTTCTGAAATCAATAAATTTAATCAAAGGTTCTAATTCTTTGCCAACTTTTCGATGATCGGTAATGAATTTATTTTTTACTTTGATTGGATTCTCTATTTATTCTAAAGTTGGCAACAGTTTCGTGAGAGTTTTATGTGCATCATTAGAAACTTGTTTGGCTGCAAGAATAGCACTATATCGAAAAACCTCATATTCTGGAGTTGCAAATGGTTTTTCTTTTTCATATATATAAGATAAAAGACATTTAAGGCCCGTGATAGACAATCGACCAAATTTAATATTATTTAATGAAATATTTGCTACTACTTCAACCAATAAATTAAGAAGAACGTTATCTTCTGTTAATGGCATTTTTTCCGAAATTTTAGATAGTAATTCCGGTGAATAATTTTTTGCAAAATTAGTATTCTTAACTGTTTTCAAAATAAAATCTTGTAGGTCCGATAATTGAAAATAGACTGCAGCGTAAAAAGCTTCAACAGTATTATCTTTTGTTAAAGATTCTTCTTTTATTGATCCAGTATAGGTCAGTATATTCTAATATAATTTCCATTCCAGCGGAATTAATCTTTGGAAAAGAAATTTGCTTTTCATAACTTTCTTTCATTCCATTATAAAATAATCTGTCAAATACTTCGGACCTTGCTGCTAAAATTGCTCTACAACCGTGTAATTTCTTTCCATCTTCACATAAAATTTCTATATCACTATACTTTGGATTATTTACTAATAATCTTAAATCTTGTTCTAATGAATATCCTCTCGTCATTTTTTCAAGAAGCCTTTTTTTTTAAAAAAAGTAAACTTTATTTTATTTTGGATTAATGAACCAATATTTATATTATTCTGTACTATGTTGTAGTGCTTCGATCCGGATGAAAACCGTCATCCGGATTACACAAAAAAAAATCCGGATTTTATCCGGATTGATCCGGATTAATATCCGGGTCAGATAATCCGGATGGAAACCGGAATCCGGATTGGATTTACATAATAAAATTTTTTTTGACTGCGGACTAGTTGATGATCCATATAATAAACATCGAATAGCATTCCAACATATTTATTATCAAAAAATTTTAACAAATATTTTATGAAATTTGGATTAAATTAATATTAATATCAATTTAATTTTTAGAATTTATGGCTATACTTTGTAACTTTTACAACTTAATTAAACTTTATGTATTATTAATATTTAATAAAATACAGTATGTGGCTTTGTTAAATAAACACTATGGCTTTTATTTAATGAGAATCTGGGCTTTTTTTATGAACTTTATGGCTTTTATTTAATAAGGATCTAGGCTTTTTTAATAAATTTTAAGACTTTTATCTAATAAAAATCCAGACTTTTTTAATAAACTCTGGGCTTTTTTAAATAAACTTTATGGCTTTTATTTAATAAGAATCTGGGCTTTTTTAATAAACTTTAAGGAGAAGAATAGTAAATAATTAATTTTTTTATTTTGTATTTTTTTTTTTTCAAATACTCTAACAATTTAGCAAAATTTTTTATTTTTTAAAATTTTTTTTTATCTTCATATTTGAATTGAAAAAGGTGTTTTTTACATTTTTTAAGTTAATAAAATAAAGAACATTTAAATATATTTTACATTTAAAAAAAAACTATTTTACAGTTCTTTTCTAATTAGTCAGAACTGTTTTCGCGCAATAACTCGCTATCCAGTGATCATAAAAAAATGATTAATGGATCATTAGAATCCACTCATAGAGAGCTTTCGAATGGTACCAAAATAACCTTTCTAGCATCAATAGATGGCGAGTTATTCATGTAAATATTTTAAACATTATCTCATCGCCTATCGAAGCTAGAAAGCTCATTTTAGTACCATTCGAAAGCTCTCGATGCGACGATTCCAATGAGCCATCAATCGTCTTTCTACGATTACTGGATGGCGATATATTGCGTGAATATAGTAAATATATATGAAAACTCATCCGGATTCCGGTTCAAACCGGATATTTTCCATCCGGATCAAAATCCGGGTCAAATCCGGATATCCGGATAAAAAAAAAATCTGGATTCATCCGGATTTATCCGGATGAGACAGAAACGGATCGAAGCACTACTATGTTGTACTAAACTTAGAAATGCATTGATCGGATACATCACATGTATATCATATGAACTTTTTTGCTGCGCCTCCATATGATAAGAATGGGTAAAATTATCTAAGCCACAATTCTGGCCAAATTCTAATGCGGCCCAGCGATGTGAAATTTTGGGCACGTGTTATCCAAATTCAATTTAATAAACGAACCTTTATTAATTTCTTAACAATAAGATTAATAAATATAATTGATTTAGTACTTTCTTTAATAAAACGTGATTCATTACATTTTGACAAATTTGTGCATTCTTTAAAACTTTTTTTTCAATAAATACAGCATTAAAATTTACTATAATTAACCACAATTTTAAAAAATATATATACTATATATAATTATTTTTTCTTTCAAGTAGCGCTTTCGCAATAAATTAGAAAAAATTAATAGTAGGCTACACATAATTTTATATCGCATACGGCTTATTTGAGAATATCTGTTTTAATGTGAAAGTTCCTGATGAAGGAAAAGAAGTATACAGATTAATAAACTTCAATTGTATGTATAAGTACTAATGCCTTGCAATTTAAAATATGCAGGCTGAATAATATTATACTTCAGCTTCTTCATTTATAATCATATTCCTGCATCAAAACATAATTTGGATCTTATGAAATTCTCATGAATCAAACGCTTTAACATGATTTCATTTTTAGTTAATAATTTAATTCAATATAATTATTTATTATGTTTATTCACAGTATATCAAATAATTATATTGAATATTCACATTTTTTTTAATAATTCTTGTAATATTAATAAAAGGTTACATGAATTTAAATTACAAAAATCAAAAAATTTATTTTTCTTGGCTTAATAATTTGTTTAGTATACATATTATATATGACTCAAAATTTTATAATAAAAATTTATTATTCACAAAATTTATATTCAATAATCTAATTTTTTTGATGAGGTAAAATTTGAAAGCGACCAGGAGAATTAAATGATACTACCGGATAAAGCTTAGATGGTAAATTATTCCATTCTGATACTACTCGATACTTTTTACCATTGACTATAAAAGCACAAGTTTTTTTATTCATATCTAAATGAACTGTAATTCTTGCACTATCTTCTCCAACCCAGTAAATAGTTTTTGATTAAATTTATACCAAACGGGCTCATTGGCTCAAAATTAGCTCAAATTTATGCAAAAAATAATCCAAATTTAAGCCAACCTAGAGCCAATTATATATGGATGAGCCCATTTGGTCCAAATTCATACAAAAACTATTTACTGAGCAAACGAGGGACAATAATCTACTATATAGCTATTATAATTACGAGTCTCTAGAACCCAATACCCATCCAGTAGGTTGGTCTTCTGCCCAATATTCATAATTAAGATTTTCTGGTGCACATACTCCAACCCAAGATCCAGAACAATTTTTCTCAATAATAACATCCCACTCAAAAATACCTTTATCTTCTAAAACTATTTTAGTTCTAACGCTTTGAAAACCACAACCATCTGGTGCATATACAATTTTTCCATTATCCTCAATAACAAGTTTTGATCCACATGCTGACTTATCCCAAACATCATAGCAGATTTCATTAATTGATATTCCACGAGTATTATTTAAATTTAAATTACTCGATAATGCTACATATTGATAAACATTAGAAATTATTTTATCTGGGATAATTTCTAGTGGTTCAATTATATCAGCTAATATTTGAGGTTTAATTCTTCTGAAATCAATAAATTTAACCAAAGTTTCTAATTCTTTAGCAACTTTTTGATAACTGTTCTAATGTTGGCAATTGTTTCATAAGAATTTTGAGCGCATCATTAGAAACTTGTTTTGCTGCAAGAATAGCACTATATCGAAAAACCTCATATTCTGGAGTTGCAAATGGGTTTTCTTTTTCATATGTACAAGATAAAAGATATTTAAGGCCCGTAATAGACAATTGACCAAATTCAATATTATTTAATGAAATATTTGCTGCTGCTTCAACCAATAAATTAAGAAGAATATTATCTTCCGTTAGTGGCATTTTTTCTGAAATTTTGGATAGTAATTCTGGTGAATAATTTTTTGCAAAATTAGTACTATTCTTAACTGTTTTCAAAATAAAATCTTGAAGGTCTGACAATTGAAAATAGTCTGCAGCGTAAAAAGCTTCAACAGTATTATCTTTTGTTAAAGATTCTTCTTTAACTGACCCTGTATAAATATATTCTAATATAATTTCCATTCCAGCGGACTTAATCTTTGGAAAAGAAATTTGTTTTTCATAACTTTCTTTCATTCCATTATAAAGTAATCTATCAAATACTTCGGATCTTGCTGCTAAAATTTCTCTACAACCGTGTAATTTCTTTTCATCTTTACATAAAATTTCTACATCACTGTACTTTGGATTATTTACTAATAATCTTAAATCTTGTTCTAATGAATATCCTCTCGTCATTTTTTCAAAAAAATTTTTTTTTTAAAAAAAAAAAATAATAATTTTTTTAAAAATAGAATGAATAGGATTATTTTTTTTTATTTTCGGACGAAAACTTAATATTTATTCTGTACCATGTTGTACAACACCAAGCACCATGAAAAATCGGGTAAGTTTGTGTATATCATTAAAATTTTACTATATATATAAAACTTTAAACGATAATTTCGCTCAATTTCATAATGTGGGTTAAATTGATAAAATAATGGTTCAATTAATTCGAAAATATTTAATAACGAAATTAATAGGTAGTAGGATAATCGGTACGGTACGAATTTGCAAACCTGTACAGTACAGTTGATCACTCATATATATAAAATTACAAAATTTGATCAACATGACCGTACCGTATCGTACTGACACTATAATAAAGAGAAAATCAATACGGTACATTTAGCATATAATTAATTGGACACCAGTGTTTATTTTAATAATTTGGACGCTAATGTCCAAAATATTCATTTTAATAATTTGGACACTAATGTCCAAAATGTTCATTTTGATAATTTGGACACCAATGTCCAAAATGTTCATTTTTGTAATTTGGACACCAATGTCCAAAATGTTCATTTTGATAATTTGGACACTAATGTCCAAAATGTTCATGACTTTTGTAATTTGGACACCAATATCCAAAATGTTCATTTTAATAATTTGGACACCAATATCCAAAATGTTCATTTTTGTAATTTGGACACCAATGTCCAAAATGTTCATTTTTGTAATTTGGACACCAATGTCCAAAATGTTCATTTTAATAATTTGGACACTAATGTCCAAAAATGTCCATTTAAAACAATAACTGTACTGTACTGTACTGGTTCTATATATAGAGAGATTATTATAGAGCCAGTACGGTACAGTACAGTTGGTTAAATTTTATGGTTGATCATATCGTACCGTACCGTACTGGTTCTATATATAAAGAGATTATTATAGAACCAGTACGGTACAAAATGATTATCACAAAAATTGATCAACCGTACCGTACAGGTTTGCAAATTCATACCGTACTGGATAAATATATATTCAAAATTAATATATGAAAATGAGTAAAGCAATAACAAGTTAGAATCAAGTTAAATGAAGCACAATGGAAGCACTAATTATTTTGAGTATAAGATCGGAGTTGATTAACTATTTTACGTATAAAACGCCGTGGTTAATTCTCAATCGAAATATAGAAATTTAATGAGGAAATATAAATTGGAATGATTCATACAATGTTTTAGTGAATAGGTTTCAAATATATGTAAGTGGTTACATTATAAAATAACATATAATATATTAGTCATTTAGAAATAATAGGGCTATATAAAAAGTATTAAATCACAAAGCGTTATTCTTGGTTAAAACTAAGTGGTGAACCGAATTGATATAATATCTATAAGAAAATCAAAAACGAGAGGTTACAACAACTTTAATTTGAATTTTTTCACGCAATTTAATAGAAAAAAAAATTTTGTTTTCATTCAGTTAAATAATTCTTGCTTATAATAATTTTGTTTTAGGTACCATGGCTTTATTTTTTGTGATTATAACATACTGTATTATTCAATATTCTTGTCTTTAAATTACATGGCTATATGATTTGGAAGAAACTCCACCCTTTTTTTAACTACTACAAAGCGAAATTATAATTCAATTTCATCAGGAGGTTAAATCATGCGAGTAATAGTGTAGAATCATCAAATATGTATAATACTCGAAAATTTACATCTTGAAAAAATCTGTAGATTTACAGATTTGTGTAATGTACACTTAAAAATATAGTCTCGATAATTTTTATTTTAAAAATTCGCATAAATTTTACTTAAATGGGTAGCTTTGATAACTCACTTTACTAAAAATATTCGTAAATATACTATTTCATATAGCTTACACTTAAATATATAGTCTTGATAATTCTTATATTAGAAATTTTGTATAAATTTTACTTAAATGGGTAGTTTTGATAACTCACTTTACTAAAAATATTCGTAAATATACTATTTTGTATAACTTACACTTAAATATATAGTCTCGATAATTCTTATATTAGAAATTTTGTATAAATTTTACTTAAATGGGTAGTTTTGATAACTCACTTTACTAAAAATATTCGTAAATATACTATTTTGTATAACTTACACTTAAATATATAGTCTCGATAATTTTTATTTTAAAAATTCGCATAAATTTTACTTAAATGGGTAGCTTTGATAACTCACTTTACTAAAAATATTCGTAAATATACTATTTTGTATAACTTACGCTTAACAATCACTGGTCATGTCACGGATCGGCATATTGAACTAATTTTAAGGAAAAAACCAATAGTCTATTACCTCATTTGAATCACTTGATCTTTCAAATTAATTTCTGTCGAATTAAAATTTTATAAAATTTGTGCTCAATAGATGATTGACATGCGTGTCGATCACTTTATATAAAACCGTTTTTTAATGCAAAAAAAAATATTTTACATAATAATGTGTACTAAAATTTTACACATAGTTTCACACCATGTTGAAGCCATTGTATATTAATTTTTTTCAAGATCGAATAATTATTGAGCTACTTTTACCATAAAAATGGATTTTGTAGACGAAAAATTGCCAAATTTGACCAATATATAAACATGTGAAAATCATGTTCCATCATAGTTTGTAATACTATGATAATCGAAACTTGAAGATAGAAAAAAGGTGTTTTTATCTTCGTACAATGAAGAAAAGTCGTCAAAAACTTGCATCTCGCGTTTTATTTTATCCTATTTTCGTGATTATTTAAAAAACTGATTATTACAAATGTCGCTACATGAAAATAATAATCTTTTTGACTCACTTTTTGAAAACTTTACAGAAGGTTCAGAGGAGTCAAATAATTATGTAGACAGTGATAATGTAAGCGATGACTATGAGTTTTTAGATCCTTGTATTGACTTGGAAGAATGTAATGTAAGTTTTTTGCATAAAATATTTATAGATAATGATGAAATTAGTAGTTCTGACTCAGATAATTATGAATTTGATCTTGAAAGTGAAGGCGAAAGTGAAATTGAGAGTCAGAATGACATTTATAATAATAGTGGTGAATTTGATGAAATTATAAATAATATAGAACAAAAAGAGTTAACGGCATGTGTAGTAATTGATTTTTTTGATGGAAAATTTCAACGATGTGGAAATAAAGAAGGAAATATAAGACAATTACGTAATCTTATTGGGACATGGCAAGTGGATCGAGATGTTATTAGAGAAGTAGATGGTAATTTACAAAAATTGGGTGTTTGTGATTTACATTTTCAATTTGACAATAAATACCTACATAATTCAAAAGAAAAACAATTAAAAAAGTTTGAGATGGGAATGATTCAATGGCGTAGA